GAACTAGGTATTCCCTTTTTTTTTATTACTCAATAAAAATGTCACTGACTTAACTCTCGTTATAACTAAATCTACATAATATACTACATTTGTGGCCCATTAACACCCGTGTACTCGTAAGACCATTGAAAAACTTCATGTATGTTATGCAATAAATAAAAATCTTCCAGCTTCCTTATAAATAAAGATGTTATAACCTTTGGTGCAGACCTTTGCTAATCCCGCATCTTAACACCTCTGTAGTGACACTATAAGATGGGCCTACTCCAACTTTTTGAGGCCTACTGGGCCCTTTCTGAGCCCGGGGGTCACTATATATGTGTCACTACTTGCTCCTGGTTACCTCCAATCGTAATAACAATGATTTTTTTAATAAAATACTCACAAAAATGAAGCCAGAGATCAGTCTTTCTACATTAGAACCTTCAATCAGGAGCACCAACCAGGCTAAAATAAATAAATACACATTGTGGAAACATGAATGCCTTTCTTGGGAGCCTGGCGAGTTGATTTTCAGGCTTCTCTTGTGTTATAAGGCTTAATTTTTTTTTATATTTGGAAACGAGTGTGTGTGTTAGAAGTTTTAGGAAAAATAAGCTAAGATAAATGTTAGTCAATAGTGGCTAAAGGTTGGCCCCCCTGAGGTAGCAGTACCTATCTACAATGGTCCCGTTTTCTCCTGAACTCTCACTTAAAATACATTTTTATGCCTTCAATACCCTTATAATAATCAATATTAGTCTGCCATAAAGATGAATTACCCATGATCATTAATACCATACATGGGAGTAGACCAGTTTAGCTAAAACTGATCTCTTTCCTTTCCATTTTTAACCAGCGTTTATTTAGGCTTATTTAGGCCTTATTTTTCCCCTTCATAGCCAAAGAGATTAATTATTTTCATCGATTTAGGAAATATTATTAAAGCATGTACCTATTTTTATTACATTTTGTAGGTATTATTAGATACTATTTTTTGTCCTCCAGTTAGCTATTATTACGTATAGGGGAAGCGCTAAAACCGTGAGGGTCATACAGCCATTGGGGTATGAAAGACACTCAGGTTCGACCTATGGATAGAGAGGACAAGTCCATTCCCTTGGATCAAGAGCCCGTCACAAGTGTCATGGACCCCAATGGAAATAAGTCACTCTGACTTTTTTGGGAAGGTTATCCTAGGTTCATATGCTGTTATGTATGATATTCTGTGTAATTGTGTATACCTGAATACACTTACACCCTTGATGGATGTATGACTTTGCTTCAGACTCTTCAGTACAACGGTGCTCTTCACGAACTCCAAGACTGAGGGACGGATTACCTCATCTTTTGTGTATACTTCGACTGTCTTCCAGTCATGTCCTTGAATTTGTATTGATTGGCAAAACATCTGTAAGAAAGATACCCAGATGTTGAACATGTGTCTTAATTGTTCATCCTGTCTTGAGGGATGTCTTTCTCCTATTACCTTGAGAACACATCATCCGATCGGTTTCAGACTCTAATAGTTGATCCACCAGGAGGCCTGGTCACAGACCGGGCCGCGGGGGGCGTTGACCCCCGGAACTCTCTCCAGGTAAACTCCAGGGAAAGATTTAAGTTGATACTTTGTACAAGTTACACTTTGCTAATTTACCTAAAGAAATTGGGATAGTTGAAATACTGATTTCCATCTAGTCAGGCCTCATGTGACTGTCATCAAACTTTCAACGCTGATAACTAGGGAATGCATTTTCTGAGCGGCTTCAAACTTAGTGTTCGTGAATTTTAGGATATTAGCCCCTATCCAATAACTTCTAAAACCCTGACTGGGTTCAAATCTTCCATACTGATTATTAATTGTATTGAAAACATATACAGCACACTGCTGTTTTTTCTTGTGTACGTCGAGATAGATGGGGCTGAGGTTGAGAGATACAGGAATACCTTTCTTGGACCAACCAAAACATCTAGTTAAATAATGTGAGTATATAATGAATTAGACACTTGTGCAACACTTGGGTATTTTTATTGCAGAAACGTTTCGCCAACCAGTGGCTTCCTCAGTCTCATACAGAGAAGAATGGTCGAAGATCAGGAGTTTGAGATAATCAGTCCCTCAGCCAAGTGATGGACAAGTGTCTTAATTAGTTCATCACCCTGTCGCTTCTCTGAACCATTTATCTACATTCATAGTGTATATAAACATAACTTTAATGTACTAACTTTGTCAACTTAGTTTGGTAGGTTAAGTTAGATCTGTTCATAACAGTAAATTCAAACAGACTATAATTCACTAAATATCTATCAGCAGAAGAGTATTTTATATTTTAATCCTTTACGTATGGACTAAATTAAGGTCTACATAAGGAGTGAGGGATGTACACTTATATGAGTGATCTAGACACCTAAAATCGGTTCTTGACCAGCCGGGTTATGATTCTTATGTTAGTTTGCATGTGGCCATCAGTAACAGCCTGGTTATCTGGCCCTGATCCACCACGAGGCCTGGTCATGGACTGGGGCGCGGGGGCACTGACCCCCCCGAGATAATCTCCAGGTAAGCTATTATTCAGGCCGCATACATAATAATGGTCTTATATAACAAATTATTTATAATTTAACATTGGATAACTCAATTTAAGTCGAATTCTGTGACTTATTGACATTGGGGGGACTTTGACTACCGTGGAAATTAGTCACATTGACATTATTAAGTGATCCTAGGGGTTACACAGCGCCTTGGCAATGGGAGATAATTAGGTTTGATCCAAGGAAGGGGAGAACATCTCCAATTCCTTGCATCAATACATTCCTTGGAAGTTTGGGAGACCGAAGAGACAGTCTGGGTAAGCCCAGCGGACTTTCCTGTTCAGATTAGTTTTAATGCTTCTCTAATCTCTTCAGATCTACAGTTTGTTGCTTCATTAAAAATTCTGTGAGTGAGTATCATTCAGGGTGCAATTGCATTTTTTATATAAAGCTACAGTACACATAAGAAATGCAAATGACATCCATAATTAAGTGAAAGATTGTGATGCGAGCTTATCTCGGGGAGCAGGGTGGCAGCCTCCACACTCACTGACAACACAATTCAACCATTATCTTAGCATTATAATACCGACAGACTGGTTAAGACACATGTGCAACAACTGTGTATCTTTACATAAAGAAGGGGAGGCACCCCAGTGCCAATAAGTCACCTTGTCTGACTTTTTTTTTTGGATTATACTAGGTAATATACACATATGTTACTATGATAATTTGTGTAACTGTATTTATGTGTACCTGTACCTGAATAAACTTAATGTTTATAAAGTTAGTACACAGACATGAGAGCAGAGGCTTTTATAGTGGAGTCAGTGGAAGGATTAGAGCGATGCAGCAGTAGAAGATATGATCACATGTGGACGGGGGCTCTCTAGTGAAAGTAGATCCGGTTCAGTTGGGCCAAAGATTTAGCAAGCGAGTTTTAGAGACATCTAGTTCCCTACAAAGAAGCTAGCGGTAAATCTTTCAGTGGAGCTAGTTGAAGAAGTAGAACGACGCAGCAGTAGTAGACGTAGTCACATGTGGGTAGCGCCCAATAGTGGAAGATCATGCTCATAAGGTGGGCCAGAGATTAAATAATTGAGATGTAGTATCTAGTATTCTGTGTCAGGATTCCACTCCACTCTCACTGGCTCATGTCTCAATATAAAATTGATAAAATTGATAGAAATTCCTAAGTTTTGGTCGGATTCCTGGCTGACGCAGCAGCACTATGGAATGTTGTCACAGAAAATATAAAATACTACAACTAAATTTCTTCATTTCTGTAACAGCTAATCATTAGGTTAATATTAAATACATCAGAGGTATTATTATGGGAGAGCACTAAATACGAAGGGATTATTCAGCGCATGTAGGGAAAGGGAGTGGGGGGACGGAAGGCATTCAGGCTTAATTTAGGGAATTGGAGCACAGATCCAATTCCCTAGATCAAGAGCCCCTCGCCAGCATCAAGGAACCTCCCTTGAGGGGATCCGAGTTAGTAGATTTATACACAGAGACTAGAGAGCTGACCCACGAAATCGTAATGACACAATTGCAAACAAACTATACCACAGTGCTTAAATACACGATTTTCTATTATCTGTAATTAAATTCTTACAGATGATACTGACGTGTACTGTATTATCGTCCGATTTTACAAGCATAACCAAACTTATGTAATGTAACACAAATTGTTCCATGTACATGTATAAAATTTATTATCTTTATAGTCTATATATTAGATCGTGAATTTTTTTTTCTTTGTCGTATACAATGTGGCCCGGTGGCCTGGTGGCTAAAGCTCCCGCTTCACACACGGAGGGCTCGGGTTCGATTCCCGGCGGGTGGAAACATTTCGACAAGTTTCCTTACACCTGTTGTCCTGTTCACCTAGCAGCAAATAGGTACCTGGGTGTTAGTCGACTGGTGTGGGTCGCATCCTGGGGGACAAGATTAAGGACCCCAATGGAAATAAGTTAGACAGTCCTCGATGACGCACTGACTTTCTTGGGTTATCCTGGGTGGCTAACCCTCCGGGGTTAAAAATCCGAACGAAATCTTATCTTATCTTAATGCAGCGAGATATATATTTTTATTGTCAAAAACTTGTTATCTTAAGTCGCACAAAGCGAACAGAACAATACAATACAAGTAAACGATAATATGAATTGATTCAATTCAGAATATTCTTTTGACATTCATACGGCATAAATTTCAGCTTAATTATTTATCGTCATTTGATATGATTTTCATTATTAATTCAAAACAGTATCAAATCTAATTTATAAATAATATGGGGCATATACACAGAAGTGTATATATCTCGATGTATATAGGTTATCTCAGTGTTGCTGGGTTATCCTAGGTTATATTTTCATAATTTATTTTGTCTACATGATCAAAATGAATTTATACTCAATGCTAAAACTGTAAAAATAACTAAAACAACAGTCCCGAAAAAATATGTTAATAAATATTAGGACTTAAACTTGGAGAATAAGCGTCCAGCTGGTGCTTGACGTGGGCTGTTGTTACTGGTCTTTCAACTTTCAACTAACTAGCTTGTTTGACCTTTCTGCCGGTTAATAATGGGTAGGAGTTTGTAATTTTTATGCAGATGGAATAACTGTTATATATAAATGATCCCCGGTTTATTAATAGCAATACAATGGCTTAGCAAAATCGGTTTAATTAATGTCACCTTCAGTCTCCAGATTACCGGTTATTTTTTTGTATATTGCTTTATTGAGGTTAAATTTACAAACTAATATATAATACTTATATATTGATCGCATAAAAGACTATGTTAGTTAATTTTTCTTACGGGAAAGTTACCCTCAAGGGAGGTGACCCCTCAAGGAAGGTTCCTTGATGTTGGTGAGGGGCTCTTGATTTAGGGAATTAGATCTGTGCTCCAGTTCCCCGAATTAAGCCTGAATGCCTTCCACATCCCCCCCCCCAGGCGCTGTATAATCCTCCGGGTTTAGTGCTTCCCCCTTGATTATAATAATAATCAAGGGAGGTGATTTGGTATCGGTGAGGGGATCTTGATCCAAGGAGTTGGATTTATGTTCACCTCCCTTGGATCAAACCTAAATGACTTACATTTCCCAGGTACTGTGAGGTCCCTGCAGGCTTAACATTTCCTCCACGACTAATATTAATCACATGCAACTTATTTATCAAACTTTTTCTAACATGGTTTTATGTTCCTTGTACTTCTTTTTGATTATAATAATAATAATAATAATATGTTCCTTGTATATAAAGTTTTTCTGTATATAACAATACTACAAAAAACTATGATGGTTCGTTTAGTTAGTGTTTTATTTACATTTTATGAGTTACCTTTTTCACAATAAGTAATCAAGTAAGTGTATTTGGGTACAGGTACACGTAAGTACAATTATCATAGTGTAAATTACTTAGGATACCCCATAAAGTCAATGTAACTCGCTGCCGTTGGGGTCTTTTTTTTTTTTTTTAGCCTCACAGACATTGGTCCCCATGCAGAAAGTCTAAGTAAATATAGAGTAAGGAAGAAAAAATTATTCAGATTGTTTTCGCCCAGGTTAGTATCGCAGATAACCCGATAAAGTCGCTTTTTCTGGATTACTGTATTTTTTGGCATACAGTGCGCACAAGCATATAACACATAAAAGAATGTTTCCAAGTAGTTATAACGTAATATTAGTAAACTGCTAAAGCGTAACCCAAAGTCTACCCTTGACCCAGACCTTGAGCTTAGGTGCAGGGTGATTTTTCCACAACTTTTTGTGGGAAAAAATAAGCGTGCCTCAAATGCAGGAAAATGTGGTATATCCATTGGGGCCTTGGGATCATCTCTCCCAGGATGCAACCCACCCATAATATTTGGCTGGCTCCTAGGAGTCTCCTTACTGCTAAGTAAGTGCGAACCTAGGTCTTTCAGATGTGAAAATTCAAAAGTGCCCAAAAATAATAGATACTGTAACATAATACAGTACTCATGTTGAAGATATTCCGTATTTACCTGTTAGGATTAGAAAACTGCTACAAATTAGAAATTTATAAGGCATTAAGATCCTATTAGGAATTAGAAACAGGTTAGACCTTGGAAACCTGTTAAACATTGTGAAAGTATTATATTACCATGAGTATTAAATATTCAACAATTACATTGATGTACACAACAAGTCTTGTTAATTTGATTCCTTTAAGGAAGGTGAAGGTCTCTTGATCCAAGAGATTACAGCTACCACCCCTGCCCCTCAGAGAATAGGTGATTACCTCCTATTTCTCAAATGCTGCATAACACTTATGGATGTAGTGCTTCCCATAATAAAAATATTTATTATTTTCGTTTTTTGAATGTTTCTTTAATTGGATTTGTATAATAATAATAATAATTGAAGTCTATCATATAAAGTGCATGTTATTCATATTTTATTTAATAACATTTTTCAGGTGCGAATTTTAGAAACTCTGAATATCGTAAGTATAATAATATAACTTGTTTGCAAAGCACAAAGCTTTTGGCAACTGATTGCAGAAATGCCAAGCAATAATTTGCCACAATGAGCTTGCACATCTTCCTTAGAAAAAGTGAAAAATTTCAATCATACGATATTTTCATCCTTAACTACATTTTTTGTTTTTTATCCTATCACAGGATTTTTTTTTTTAATGTGTTATTGAAATGTATGGTTTATGATTCACTTTTTTTGTCAGGGTATAATGTTTAGCATATGCCTTGAATTGCTAGATCCATATCATTAGGCTTTTGTCCAATATAAAAAGTAATAAATTATACATTCATCATCTCTTTATTAAAAATTTCAGATGCTTGATTTGAATAACATTATCAAAAAGTATAGTTTGAAGTGGATCTTGTTTTTCAACATGTGCTGTGTGATTGCACAGTATTTAGGTTGCACAAGGTAAAAGTCGCTTTAAAATTTGCACAGAGCTTTTGCTCACCTTTTGGGGGGTTGGGGAAAAAGGGTGAGGGTTGAGGCATTGGAGGTAAGATATTTTTGTTCACTTGTAATAATATTTTTTTAATTTTATATACCTAAATAAACACAATGCCATATGTTTTTACACCCAGAATATATTGTACATTGTTATTTGTAATTTAAGGACTTATTTTACAGTTTAATTAATGTTTCCATGGAATCTGGTGCAGGTGTCAGCACTGCAGCCTCCTTTGGCCTAGCCATTCTATGCTGCTTGTTGGTCTTCTCTGGCCTTCAGATGTACAAGAACCAACTGGGTTCAACAAGGCTCATGACACTTGTTGCTGGATATATTGCATCCTGGCTCTTCATCTTCATGATTACTGTATCCTTTTTTTAATAAATCACTAATGAAAAGATACTGTAATGAAGTACTACTGCAAAATGAAAAAAAAAATAAGGTCAATTACTATTTTTTATATACGTACAGTAGTACTTTGTATAATTTTCCCATTGTTTATTCAGAACTAAATACCTGTACATCCTCTTGGTTTTTAAAGACTTATTTCATCTCTTCTTCTAGAATCATATGAGACTTGAGTCCTGGAGGTGGGAAATACATAGTGTCTGCAATCTGAAGTAGGGGTTAAGATATTGAAATTCAGAGGACCATCTGAATGGTGATGCAGCATGCTTCTGGCAAAGCAGCCATTGAATGAATGACTGTGAATGCATTTCCTCTTTTTAGGTCACCCTTCTTTGGTGGGAGATGGCCAGCGTGTTAAAAAATTAATAGTACGTATTGTAAATAGTTGTCATGTTAATTGTACTTTCTTCTTTGCAGTGGTAAGTGGTATACAATACTGTTACGACTTAATATTTTAAATGACTGATTATGAAATATTACTGTGACCCTTTGTATATATATACATACCATGTTTTGCATCTCTTTGTATTTTATTTGCATATCTATAGTTCTTACTAAACCCCCTTTATGTCAAGATTTGTATAGTATTCTAAAATTCATTCTGACATAAAGGAAATGTTTATTATTGTGTGTACTTGCATAATACAGCATATATATATATATATATATATATATATATATAAGCGTGCGTGAGCGTGTTAGATAGGAGTGAATGGAGACGAATGGTACTTGGGACCTGACGATCTGTTGGAGTGTGAGCAGGGTAATATTTAGTGAAGGGATTCAGGGAAACCGGTTATTTTCATATAGTCGGACTTGAGTCCTGGAAATGGGAAGTACAATGCCTGCACTTTAAAGGAGGGGTTTGGGATATTGGCAGTTTGGAGGGATATGTTGTGTATCTTTATATGTTTATGCTTCTAGACTGTTGTATTCTGAGCACCTCTGCAAAAACAGTGATAATGTGCGAGTGTGGTGAAAGTGTTGAATGATGATGAAAGTATTTTCTTTTTGGGGATTTTCTTTCTTTTTTGGGTCACCCTGCCTCGGTGGGAGACGGCCGACTTGTTGAAAAAAAAAAAAAAAAAAAAAAAAAATATATATATATAATATATATATATATATATAAATATATATATATATATATATATATATATATATATATATATATATATATAAATATATATATATATATATATATATATATATATTATATATATATATATAAATATATATATATATATATATATATATATATATATATATATATATATATATATATAATATATATATATATATTATGTATTATATATATATATATATATTACATGTATATATATATATATATATATATATATATATATATATATATATATATATATATATATATATATATATATATATATATATATATATATGAAGAGAGTGGTGAGAGAGTGCAAAAGGAGAGCAGATGAAAGAGTGGGAGAGGCACTGTCAAGAAATTTTAATGAAAATAAGAAAAAATTTTGGAGTGAGTTAAACAAGTTAAGAAAGCCTAGGGAAAGGATGGATTTGTCAGTTAAAAACAGAGTAGGGGAGTTAGTAGATGGGGAGAGGGAGGTATTAGGTAGATGGCGAGAATATTTTGAGGAACTTTTAAATGTTAAGGAAGAAAGGGAGGCGGTAATTTCATGCACTGGCCAGGGAGGTATACCATCTTTTAGGAGTGAAGAAGAGCAGAATGTAAGTGTGGTGGAGGTACGTGAGGCATTACGTAGAATGAAAGGGGGTAAAGCAGCTGGAACTGATGGGATCATGACAGAAGTGTTAAAAGCAGGGGGGGATATAGTGTTGGAGTGGTTGGTACTTTTGTTTAATAAATGTATGAAAGAGGGGAAGGTACCTAGGGATTGGCGGAGAGCATGTGTAGTCCCTTTATATAAAGGGAAAGGGGACAAAAGAGATTGTAAAAATTATAGAGGAATAAGTTTACTGAGTATACCAGGAAAAGTATACGGTAGGGTTATAATTGAAAGAATTAGAGGTAAGACAGAATGTAGAATTGCGGACGAGCAAGGAGGCTTCAGAGTGGGTAGGGGATGTGTAGATCAAGTGTTTACATTGAAACATATATGTGAACAGTATTTAGATAAACGTAGGGAAGTTTTTATTGCATTTATGGATTTAGAAAAGGCATATGATAGAGTGGATAGAGGAGCAATGTGGCAGATGTTGCAAGTATATGGAATAGGTGGTAAGTTACTAAATGCTGTAAAGAGCTTTTATGAGGATAGTGAGGCTCAGGTTAGGGTGTGTAGAAGAGAGGGAGAATACTTCCCGGTAAAAGTAGGTCTTAGACAGGGATGTGTAATGTCACCATGGTTGTTTAATATATATATAGATGGGGTTGTAAAAGAAGTAAATGCTAGGGTGTTCGGGAGAGGGGTGAGATAAATTATGGGGAATCAAATTCAAAATGGAATTGACACAGTTACTTTTTGCTGATGATACTGTGCTTATGGGAGATTCTAAAGAAAAATTACAAAGGTTAGTGGATGAGTTTGAGAATGTGTGTAAAGGTAGAAAGTTGAAAGTCAACATAGAAAAGAGTAAGGTGATGAGGGTATCAAATGATTTAGATAAAGAAAAATTGGATATCAAATTGGGGAGGAGGAGTATGGAAGAAGTGAATGTTTTCAGATACTTGGGAGTTGACGTGTCGGCGGATGGATTTATGAAGGATGAGGTTAATCATAGAATTGATGAGGGAAAAAAGGTGAGTGGTGCGTTGAGGTATATGTGGAGTCAAAAAACCTTATCTATGGAGGCAAAGAAGGGAATGTATGAAAGTATAGTAGTACCAACACTCTTATATGGATGTGAAGCTTGGGTGGTAAATGCAGCAGCGAGGAGACGGTTGGAGGCAGTGGAGATGTCCTGTCTAAGGGCAATGTGTGGTGTAAATATTATGCAGAAAATTCGGAGTGTGGAAATTAGGAGAAGGTGTGGAGTTAATAAAGCATTAGTCAGAGGGCAGAAGAGGGGTTGTTGAGGTGGTTTGGTCATTTAGAGAGAATGGATCAAAGTAGAATGACATGGAAAGCATATAAATCTATAGGGGAAGGAAAGAGGGGTAGGGGTCGTCCTTGGAAGGGTTGGAAAGAGGGGGTAAAGGAGGTTTTGTGGGTGAGGGGCTTGGACTTCCAGCAAGCGTGCATGAGCGTGTTAGATAGGAGTGAATGGAGACGAATGATACTTGGGACCTGACGATCTGTTGGAGTGTGAGCAGGGTAATATTTAGTGAAGGGATTCAGGGAAACCGGTTATTTTCATATAGTCGGACTTGAGTCCTGGAAATGGGAAGTACAATGTCTGCACTTTAAAGGAGGGGTTTGGGATATTGGCAGTTTGGAGGGATATGTTGTGTATCTCTATACGTATATGCTTCTAAGCTGTTGTATTCTGAGCACCTCTGCAAAAGCAGTGATAATGTGTGAGTGTGGTGAAAGTGTTGAATGATGATGAAAGTATTTTCTTTTTGGGGATTTTCTTTCTTTTTTTTGGGTCACCTTGCCTCGGTGGGAGACGGCCGACTTGTTGAAAAAAAAAAAAAAAAAAATATATATATATATATATATATACAGTGGACCCCCGCATAACGATGGCATCACATAGCGATTATTCCTCATACCGCTTACTTTAATCGCAAAATTTTTGCCGCGCATACCGATTAAAAACCCGCTCACCGATTTTCGTCCGAGACGCGTCCAATGTGCGCCCTCAGCCAGCCTCACATGTGCCGCCCGTGCCATTGTTTACCAGCCAGCCTCCGCGGTAACATCCAAGCATACACTCGGAATATTTCGTATTATTACAGTGTTTTCGGTGCTGTTTCTGGAAAATAAGTGACCATGGGCCCCAAGAAAGCTTCTAGTGCCAACCCTGTGGTAAAAAGGGTGAGAATTAGTATGGAAATTAAGAAAGATTTTGAAGGGTTTGGGGCTAACCCTGAGAAGCCTATGCCAGTTGTGGAATCCATTGTGCCTACTTCAAAAATTAAGGAAATGTGTGCACAGTGGGTTGAACTGCAAACCTTTATGGATGAAAATCACCCTGACACAGCTGTTGCAAGCCGTGCTGGTGACTATTTCAATGACAATGTTGTGGCCCATTTTAGACAAATCGTAAAGGAACGGGAGGTACAGAGCTCTATGGACAGATTTGTTGTGCGACAGAGGTCCAGTGACTCAAGCTGGTCCTAGTGGCATTAAAAGAAGAAGGGAAGTAACCCCGGAAAAGGACTTGCTACCTCAAGTCCTAATGGAAGGGGATTCCCCTTCTAAACAATAAGTTCGACACACTCCCCTCCTCCCATCCCATCAATCATCACCAGATCTTCAATAAAAGTAAGTGTCATGTAAGTGTGCATGCCTTTTTCAGTTTGTGTGTATTAAAATTAACATTTCATGTGGTAAAAAATTTTTTTTTTCATACTTTTGGGTGTCTTGCACGGATTAATTTTATTTCCATTATTTCTTATGGGGAAAATTCATTCACATAACGATTATTTCGCATAACAATTACCCCTCTTGCACGGATTAAAATCGTTAACCGGGGGTCCACTGTATATGTATATATATGTTTTTTTTTTTTTTTTTTTTTTTTTTTTTTTTTTTTTTTTCCAACAAGTCGGCCGTCTCCCACCGAGGCAGGGTGACCCAAAAAAAGAAAGAAAATCCCCAAAAAGAAAATACTTTCATCATCATTCAACACTTTCACCACACTCGCACATTATCACTGTTATTGCAGAGGTGCTCAGAATACAATATATGTATATATATATATATAAATAAAATCTCAGAAACTTCCTTGCATTGCTTGGTGGTAGAACCTTTATTCTTTTGATGAATGCTTTCAAATTTTTTAGTGGTTGGTACTGTCTATAATAGAGTTCCCACTGACTAGAGCAGAAAAGTAAATTAAATATAAGTACAGTGGACCCCTGGCATATGATGGCATCGGTATACGTTAAATCCGGTATACGATACATTTTATGCCTCGCCACTCGTTAAAAAACCCGCCACACGCAATTCGTCCGGGACGCGTCCACATGAGGCCTGAACTGCCCCGTGCATGCCAGTGTACTCGCATCTAAACATACATTTGGTACATTCCATATTATCACAGTGTTTTTGGTGCTTGTTTCTGCAAAATAAGTCACCATGGGCCTCAAGAAAGCTTCTAGTGCCAACCCTGTGGTAAAAAGGGTGAGAATTAATATGGAAATTAAGAAAGATTTTGAAAGGTATGAGGCTAACCCTGAGAAGCCTATGCCAGTTGTGGAATCCATTGTGCCTACTTTAAAAATTAAGGAAATGTGTGCAAAGTGGGTTGAACTGCAAACCTTTATGGATGAAAATCACCCTAACACAGCTATTGCAAGCTGTGCTGGTGACTATTACAATGACAATGTTGTGGCCCATTTTAGACAAATTTTAAAGGAATGGGAGGTACAGAGCTCTATGGACAAATTTGTTGTGCGACAGAGGTCCAGTGACTCTCAAGCTGGTCCTAATGGCATTAAAAGAAGAAGGGAAGTAACCCCGGAAAAGGACTTGCTACCTCAAGTCCTAATGGAAGGGGGTTTCCCTTCTAAACATTAACAACTTCGACACTCTTCCCTCCTCCCATCCCGTCAATCATCACCAGATCTTCATTAAAGGTAAGTGTCATGTATTCTATTGTTAGTAGAGTACTACTAACTGTGCATGTCTTCTTCAGTTTGTGTGCATTAAACTTAATATTTCACGTGGTAAAACTTTTTTTTTCATAGTACTTTCGGGTGTCTTGCACGGATTAATTTTATTTCCGTTATTTCTTATGGGGAAAATTAATTCGCCTTCCGATAATTTTGGCATACGATGAGCTCTCAGGAACGGATTAAATATCGTATACCGGGGGTCCACTGTATCCTGTTTAGGCCTTTTGAAAAGTGTGGTTTTATGTTAATTTAGGCTTATTAGAAAAACTAATTATGTACATGCATTTGTTTAGTTGACATTTTTTGTACCCTTCATTCTCATTTTCCCTAACTAATAAACAGGCATTGAATAACCTGGAAAATATCGTATTTGGAAAAGGATTCCAAGCTCGTGTAATTCCTGAGGTGGTTCTGTGCATGGTTCTTGCTTGCTCTGCAGCTGGTATGGTTCATCGAGTCTCTATAACTGTGTGGTAAGTTATATATTGTGTTTATTTACATCAGGAATATTAAGCCTGTTTACTATGCTAAGCCACATTTGATGTATAATGACCACCAAAACTTTGGGGCTGAAGGTCATGATAGCACTGCTGCTGTTTTTATGAAAAGGGACAAATGGTAGAAAAGCTCTAGCAGGACAAACGATAGTCCTTTGCCCCAGCATTCCTCTTACCCCAGGTAGCAAATCCTTTATAATAATTCACTCATTCCCCAATCCCATCACAACATGCCACCTCTGACACTAGTTTAACTCTTTCTTACTACATCTCTCCTGCCCAGTCAGCCTAGAAATTCTAATCCATCTCAGTAATCCAACCTCAAATATGCATCACCTAATTCTAACCTGGGATGTGACTGACATTTGAGTGGGGTTACCCCCTTTGTCTCTAGATATCTCTTGAGATCAGTTTTTGTCGGCAGTGGATAGGGACTAGTAACAGACCTCTCTAGACAGTGGCTGAGGGACCCCTCAAAAGCCTGGTACCAGTAATGGCCTTGACTCATTTCCTTGAGCATTATTAAGTTCCTGTGTTGAGACTTAGTTTTTACTAATGGATTAGTGTGTGAAAAAGTGTGGGTTTTGCAATGAGACTTGCTGGGGACTTGTTTTCTTCTCAGTTGCCAGGAGTCCTCATTGTTCAAAAAGGCACCCTATGCTACTCTTGGCTTGATGGGTGGCTGTGTGAGTATTTGTCCACTATTTAATTTGACTTTGAGTACACTTTTAGCTCTGGCTCAGTTACATCCTGTAGCCCAGAAAATTTGCAATCATTGGTGTGTTCATGGAGACCTCAATTACATTTTCAGAAAATTTTTAATATTTATAGGATAGTCATATTTTTAAATTATTCCTGTAAGATTTTATTGATTGCTTTCAGACTATGCAAGTTTCTGTTGAGGTTAGAACAAGTACATGAATTGTACAATATTTAAATTAATTTTCCTACATTAATAATATATTACAATGCTTTGTATGTATTTTCAGTTTTCTTTGTTCTCTGGCGGGATTATATTACATCAACAAAATGGGTCAGTCAAGTGCTGCTCCAGTTGTGCCCTCAGTAACAGGCTCCAAGAAAAAGAAGTAAAAGTTTACAGTGAGCATGATGTATTGGAATAGAAAATTAGTGTTGCTGCGCTTGTGTACCTCTGGACAAAACAAGGCTTCAAACACTTTTTTTATTAGGTTAAACGTTTAATGTTCATTTTTTTTTTCTTTAGTTGACTATGAATTTCATAAATGCTTAACACCATGGGGTTCATGTATACCTTAATGACATAGTCTGGTTGTCAGAATATTGTGATTGAAAAATATTTGACAGTATGATTTGGCAGAAGTTTTGATAATGTTATATAGCCCAATATTTTATATAGTACCATAATTATTATACAGTATAATAATAATAAGGGCTCTGTCTTTAAGTAATAGGCCAAATGATATGAAGATCTTTTGCATAACATATAATCGTTTTTAGAAATGATGGTTCTTGTATTTGTGACAATTGCTATATTTAACTTTTCAAATATAATGGGGAACTGGCTAGATTCTTGTTTTGTGGCAATGCCAATATCTGCCATAGGGTATTTTTGTTGGAATCCAACATTTGTTTTTAATAAAGTCTGGAAAAATATGATCGTATTTTGAGTTTCCTGTTAAGATGTAAATACACATGTACATGTACAGATATCCATGGAAAGTGGCAGGCCTATTGGGCCCTATAAACAAAAAGCAATTTACACAGTGTTAGGCAGGACTTTGGTGTTTGGCCTCCCTCCAAAAGGAATTATCACTTATAGACGCATCTTTCGTCATTTGAGAATCGGGCTCACACCTTGCCTATAGCCCCCTGTTTGCAGGTGTTGTTGCCTCCTCCAGTATGGCTTGCGGTATGCAGGTTAACTTGTACTTTGCATCATTGTGCTGGAATGTGAAAAATTAATGAATTCAAAATCAGCTCCTAAATTTTAAAGAAACGTCCAAGTACTTTATCCACCGTGGCCTACTAGACATTCTAGACGAACACCCTTACTTAGTGCAAATAACTTTTAAGCATAAAACTACATTGTAATGTTCTTTGACTAGATCCAAGACTATGTAAGCATTATTCTTATTCTGAACTGAATAAATTTTGTAAATACTGTACCTGTAGTTCATTACCACTATGACTAGTTTAGCAAATGCCTTGAAATGAGCCTGATTACCTTCCATCCTCAGTCCTATATGACCCCTACAGGTTTACCACTTCCATGAATAATAATTTCCTGTCTAGTATTGAAAACTGCTTGCACAAGTCCCTCAAGTAAGGGTCTCTCATATTGGTGAAGTCTCTTGAGCTAAGGAATTCAATCTATTCCAATTTTTTGAATTGAGTCCAAATGCCTTCTATTCCCCAGGTGCTGCTGTTGTGCTCCAGTTCCCCGAATTAAGCCTGAATGCCTTCCACATCCCCCCCCCAGGCGCTGTATAATCCTCCGGGTTTAGCGCTTCCCCTTGATTATAATAATAATCCCCAGGTGCTGTATGAACCCCTATGTGTTTAGTGCTCCCTTATGAATGCACCAATAATAATAGTGTTTATTACAAATTGGACACATACTTTGCACAAATATCTCATGGAGAGGCCACTGGGAACTGCCAGATTGCATTTTCAGCTTACTATAATACTGCCCTCAATTTTAAGGGTGGTTTCTTGGTGCCAGTGAGGAGCTCTTGATCTAAGGAACTTAGTTTTAAGGAAACACCCGGGGTGTGATGCTTGTTGCCACCCATTGCTGCAGCATGTGCTGTGGACAGCAGTGCTTGCTGGCTGGCAGGTCTTTGACGTGGACTAAGACTGGCTCTGGCGCCCAGGGCGGTGGCACGGTGTACCTTGCCACTGGCCTGTCACAACCCATGTCCTCAAGGGGCGACATGGGCAGGAGCTCCTTTGCCACATCTGCAGCTGACCACACCCATAGTTAGTCGGGGCACCCCGTGAGGTCACCTCGTTGTCGGTTAAGGAGGTCCTGCATCAGATGTTCGCCGCCAGGGAGCTGGACATATTTGGCCACCCTCCTGGCGGCCACAAGGGCAATCCTGTTGCTTAGGGGCTCCAGTTGGGCCTCAAAATTCAGAGGCACAGTGTTCGTCCATCTTGGTGTCCCCAGCATGACCTGAGCAGCGGCATTTTGTATGACGCTGAGCCACTGAAGGCACAAGGGGTGGCCATGGACCAGGGTACCTTAACAATTACTTCAAAGGTATCAAAGGGTAGCTGCCCTGTAGTCCGCAAGAGAGTGCACCTCCTGCACGTAGAACATCCGGAGGATGTTGTGGCTGGCACCCGCCCTAGGACTGGTCAGGGCGCTTATGGCCGTGACCCGTTGCATGGCACGCTCTCTGACATACTCTGCCTGCTTGCGGAAAGCGAGCGGACTGTCAATGTGTACACCCAGGTACAAGTAACTGTTGGCCCAGTCGAGGTTGATGCCTGAGATCTGCAGCCTGGTGGCAGGCACCTTGGCATGCAGGACCATGGCCTAGGAATTGTCCACAGAGACCTTGAGGCCAAGACGACGGCAGGTGGTAGCAAGCATATTAAAGTCATGTTGGGCCCTATGCATCAGGCTGCACCTTTCAGTGGCAATGAGTGTGAGGTCATCCGTGTAGTTGAACAGTCGGGTGCCTGCAGAGAACATCAGCTGCACCAACACGTGCATCAGCACATTGAAGCGAGTTGGGCTGAGGACTCCGCCCTGTGGGGTGCCATTTTCCAAGGCTCTGAGGGTAGATGCCTGTCCCTGGAAGTGCACATGAGGATACCTGCCCTGCAAATAAATAACAAAAAGGCACAATACCGTGACTGGAATGATACACAAATAACCCGCACATAAAAGAGAGAAGCTTACGACGACGTTTCGGTCCGACTTGGACCATTGACAAAGTCACACTGTGATTTTGTCAATGGTCCAAGTCGGACTGAAACGTCGTCGTAAGCTTCTCTCTTTTATGTGCGGGTTATTTGTGTAACCTGCCCTGCAGGCATGAGCAGATCCAGGCAAGCAGCTTGCCCTTCACACTCCTGCATGCTAGCAGATCGAGGATGGCTGGCGCACTGGCCAGCTCGAAGGCCTTCTCAAGGTCAAGAAAGATGAGTCTTGGGCCTCTTGTCTGACCCAATGCTGGCTAGGAGAGTGGTGACGCTCTCAGAGGTGTACACTCCTCGTGTGAAGCCGTAGATGTGCTGATGCTCCGGGCCGAACTTCCATCTCAGTTGCTCCAGCACCATCCTCTCGGCAACCTTGGAGAGGCAGCTGGTGAGAGAGATGGGCCTCATGCTGCCTGGTTCCCTGGGCTTGGGAATCGGCCCCTCAAGGAAGGTTCCTTGATGTTGGTGAGGGGCTCTTGATTTAGGGAATTGGATCTGTGCTCCAGTTCCCCGAATTAAGCCTGAATGCCTTCCACATCCCCCCCAGGTGCTGTATAATCCTCCGGGTTTAGCGCTTCCCCCTTGATTATAATAATAATAATAATTGGGAATCGGCAGGATGTTGGCTTCCTTCCATGTGGTTGGGAGTCGCCCAGTCCTCCAGGATCGGCTGATGACCTCCAAGAGTGTGTCATGTCCAGGAGGGCCTGCCCTTGAGACCATACTGTAGGTGATGCCATCCTGCCCGGGGGCCGTGTCCCACGAGAACCTGAAAGCCGCTTCTAGCTCCCGAACACTGACATTCACAGCAGTGTCGTACTGTTCCTGGCACGCCTCCAGCATCCTGTCAGGGAGGAGGGTGGTCTGGAGGTCCTGTATGTCCTGAGGCCGGTGGGCTGTCGCTGTCCTGAAGGTGAAGAGTTCCATCAGCCTCTCCGCCTCCCCAGCCGGGTTGTGGTGAGCATGTGTCGCTCCTCTGCGCTTTCCAGTAGCTATGCTGATCTTCGTCCAGATCTCCGACAGGGTAGAGGCGTGGCTGAAAGAGGTGCACCACTCAAACCACTTTCCCTGGTGGGCCCCATGAGAGACATGGCGTGCGTGCCGCACTGCCTCCCTCAGCAGCCGATGGGACTCGGCCATGGGATTGCACCTGTGCAACCTATGGGCTCAGTTGATGCAATGGTTCTGTTCCTTGACGGTCTCATCGTAGAACCACCAATCGTGCTTGGGTGTTCCTCCGACCCTGGTGAGTGGTTTTGCCACCTCAGCTGCTTGGGTGAAGGCTGCTTGGAGGCTCTGGGCAGCCTCATCCAGATCGTCAGGTAGAATGGTCTCCTCCCACCATTGCTGTATGACGTCCTGGAAGCACTGGTGTTCTACTACAGGGGTGGGGAGTAAAGAGGGTGCTGTGGGAGCAACAGAGTGGTGATGATTGCAAAGTGGTCACTGGTGAGAAGAGGGTGGATTTCTGAACTTACTCCAGGCAGCAGCCTCTGAGAGAGGAGCATGAGATCCAGTCAGATGCCGAAGTGGTGGGTTGGCTCCCTGTTGTTGAAGAGGACAATTTCAGGAACGTCCTCTAGCACCACTGCCAGGTGCCTGCGCATCTCATTTGTGTAGGTGATAGACCAGAAGAGCTTGAGGTGGGCATTGATATCCCCTACCACCAGCACGCCTTCGAGGGGAGATACGGTGAGGGCTGTCGGCTCAGAGAGATCCAAGGTGAGCCTTGGGTTCCAGTACACGTTGTAGATTGCTAGTGGCCTGGCCGGCAGGTGCAGAGCAACAGCCTGTACCTCAACCCCTTTGCTGCAATCGATGGGGTCAGTGATAATTGAGTAGGGAATACAGTTCTGCACATAAACTGCAGTGCCCCTGGCAGAGGCCCCGGTCTGCTGCAGGTAGGCCAAGAACCCAGAGATGCGTGGCTGTATGTCGGGCAGTGGTTTGACTAGGGTCTCCTGGAGAAGGAAAACGTCAATTGCGTCCTGGACTGCCATTTTGACCACAGGATGGATTTTCCACTGGAGTACTTTTATGGGCTGAAGGGCGACCTGTTGGACTCCATCTCCTCCTGCTGTTCCATGGTCTCCATCTTCGGGCCATCACCGCCTGTGTTTACTTGTCTGTAGGTGTGAAGGTCTAGATAAGGTGTGCCTGCAGGTCTGCTGGATCCCTCTTCTCTAGCATAACTAAGCTGAGCAGGGTGGCCAGGAGCTGTTTGCAGTTCAACCTGCCCTTCATCAATGGGAGCAATTCCGCATTGCACTCTGTGATACGCATGATTATTTTGGTAATGTGGGCCCTGCCGGATTTCGCTGTCCCTCCACCCAGGGGCGATGAGTTACTGGTGTCTTGGGTGGGGCCTGGGGCTGCCTTCCCATTTCCGTAGTCATTGGATGCTGTTGCGCAAGCCTGTGCGGTTCTCTGAGCCGTCTGGCTGAGTGACAGGACTTGCTGCTCACTGCTCTCGGAAATGACTTGGCTCTGTGAGGAGGGCCCCTGATGGTGGGTCAGTGGATTCTGCCGCGGTGTGGCCGTGGCCTCTTGAGCAGCATCCCTGACCCAGGCGTGCTGCATCCCATGGTTCTGTTTCTTCTGAGACTTTGGAGCTTGCCCTGGCTGTTGTCTGCCCTGCTTCGAGACAGGTGATGCACTCTGTCTTCCCTGCTGACTACCCAGCGCTGGGAACTCTCTGCTGTAGGCCGTAGCCGAACCCAGAGGAGCCATGGCGGCTGCCCCTGCCAGTCACTGCTGAGCGCTCCATGGGTTAGACTGTGCTGAGGCCGTAGCCGGACCCTGTGGAGCAGGGGATGGCATCCCTGCTTGCCACTGCTGGGTGCCCCTTGGGCTGGACTGCGCCATGGTCGCGGCAGGGGCAGTCCACTGGCGTACTTGTTGCCACCTCTGCACTATCACAGGGCACCCCTGGTTCCAGGCGTGGTGCATCTTTCCACAATTGGCACATTTGGGCTCTGGGCGTTGAGTCTCGGGGTTGGGTTATTTGAGCAGGACAATGCATTCCCTGGTGTCTTGCTGCAAACCCCACACTTCTTCACGTGCTGGCAGGTGACTGCAATGTAGCTAAAGCCCTGATAGTTGAAGCACTGGAGAGGGGCGTCTACGTAGGGCCGGGTCTTGAACCACTCTTACACCCCTAGGGAGACATATATATATATATATATATGTTGGAACTTTTTCTGTCTGAGAAGTCCCAACGGGGAAAAACACACCGTTTGAGGGCCCTTACACCCAACACAAACATTCTCTCCGGAGATGGCGTGGGTGGATGGTAGGTACTTCTTGATTTATAGATTTACCCTTCAGGGAAGAAGTAGGTAGTTTTACTGTTAGTACACTAATATTAGGATTATTAAGGCAACTGTAGATAATAATAATGTAGACCTAAGACCTTAACATAGGTAGTAATAGGCTGATAATGTATGCAAACACTAGATTGAGTTAGCTAGGGAGAACTGGCAGCCCTAGTTTGAACGAGGAAGCGTGGGTCTTGAAGACACGAGAGCGCCCTTCTTAGACCAGACATCACTTGGACAACACGTGCCGTGATCAGCAGACAGCACCCCCCACGTGTCTTCACATATAAGACCTGGGGAAATCTGGTAGAGGCACCTCGAAGTACAGTAGATGACCTCCTCTGTCAGGCCCATACAGTAAGACAAGACCTCCACTTTATATTAGATTTCTGGCCAGTGTCTGGGGAAAATTGTGAGTGAGTTGAACTGTGGGCCTTTGTGCAGCTGGCAGTGCATGCCCAGTATGTACCAGCGTCTCTTGTCAGTCTAGAAGCTAGTGTCCGTGTCTGCATAGTTATACTAGGGGATACACGCCCCCTTGGATATAGGAATTTCTGAGGTGCAGGCAGGTCACTAATAACGATTGAATATTGCAGGAATTAAGGCTCCTGGTTGCACGTGGTTTCTGAGGGGAAGTCCAAAGGGGCTAAGCTTAGGGAGGTTGAAGATCAGGATATATGCTGCAACACCAAGTAAATTAGTCCTTTAAATGTGCATGCAGGCGAGATTTCTTGCAACATCAATCATTTATGAAAATCTGTCCTATAAGCCACTTGTGAGGCTGAGGTACCGACCTCAGAGCTCGGTGTCAACAGAGCTTGCCAGGGTAAGCGACTCACTTGGAGGCAGTCCAGACAAATTTTCACAATTATATATATATATATATATATATATATATATATATATATATATATATATATATATATATATATATTATATATATATATATATATATATATATATATATATATTTATATATATATATATATATATATATATATATATATATATATATATATATATTATATATATATATATATATATATATATATATATATATACACACATTACTCTCTCACTTACTCACCCCTCAAGGAAGGTTCCTTGATGTTGGTGAGGGGCTCTTGATTTAGGGAATTGGATCTGTGCTCCAGTTCCCCGAATTAAGCCTGAATGCCTTCCACATATCCCCCCCCCAGGCGCTGTATAATCCTCCGGGTTTAGCGCTTCCCCCTTGATTATAATAATAATAATCTCACTTACTCAATAGGTAAGTTCTACCCAATTGTTATATACCTTTGTACAACCATGTATCATGTCATAATAAACATTATTATTACGTATGATAATTGTACTTACGTGTACCTATACCTTAATAAACTTGCTGACATATACTTGTTTAAGATACATAAGGTTGTGTAGGAGACTAAGAGATGGCAGCAGCAGCAGCAGTAATGTGGTGAACACTGATGGTGGTGACTCGTACCTGGCTGCAACACCAGGCATCACTGAATCATCACTACAGTCATTATTATACCTGGAAACAAGCGCCAAACCCGCGTGGATTGCACTTCTCCCCCCCCCTCCCACTCCCACCCGATTGCCAGGAGCTGTGACTCGACCCCCTGCAACCACATATAAGTGAGTACACACTCATGTGAGTTTTGCCAGAATTTAACCCTGTTTGGTTGGTTTTGTCAAGGTATATTGTTTTTACGTTGTAAAAATGCAAGGAACGTAAAATAACCTAAAGGAACCCAACCTAAAATGAGCTAACGTATCTTAACCTTACTTCGCCAGCGGTAGTTATGGAACATTGTATTCGATTTGTCTTTTTTTATGTTCGTTGTGACTGATCAGTAACAGTAGTACTGTACACAGATAATCCTAGGTTCTCTACACATATGCTGCTATGTATTATAATTATGTAACTGTATTTGTGTATACCAGAATAAACTTAGTAATGGAAATTAATCACTGACTTTTTTTTTTTTTTTGCAGGAGGGGGTTATCTTAGGTTATATACACATATTAAACTAAGTATGATCATTGGAAGTATGTCTAACTTTTTTTGGTGTTATCCTGGGAAATCTACACATGTTGCTATGTATGATAATTTACATAACTGTATTTATGATAAGATAAGATAACTGTATTTAACTGTATTTATGTGTACCTGTACCTCATTAAACTTACTTATGACAACATTTCAGTCTGACTTGGACTGTTAATAATATTTTATTACATGTAGACTTCTTTTTTTTTGTGTAAGTAGATTACCCAGGATAATCCAAAGAAATAAATTTGACTTATCTTAGGTTCCTACACATATGCTGCTATGGATGATGTTCTTTGTAATTGTGTATACCTGAATAAACTTACTAACTAGTTAATGGCTCAAGTTGGACCAAACTATCACAAGTTTCAGTCTTAGGTGAAATAAGTTTATTTAGGCACAGGTCAATATAAGTATATTTATCATGTATACTGTAAATTACCCAGGATAACTCACAAAAAAAGTCGAAGCGACACATTTCCATTGGGGTCCTTGTATATCTTATTATTTAAAGTTTGAAAGTTAAAACGCCTAAGTAACTCGACTGTGTGAGAACCTAATTTATTATATTAATATGTATTTACAAAGCTTGTAAATTGGTTTAAAGTCTTAAGTTTGCTCGAAATTTTCTCCATATTATGGGCCTTTCGACATTCACACCTAGATGTAATGCACCTTTATACAAACATTGTATCATGCTGAGATAAAGTATATCTTTATCTTTATCTATCTTTATCAGGTTGAGCAGAGGTGTTTCATGTCAGAGTGAACATCTGAGGTGATTCGTAAGGTCATTGAAGTAGGTGAAGCAAGAGGAGATTATTATTACACGTGTATTTTAATCATAACTAAAAGCTAAACCCAACCAAGCAAGAGAAATGTGTTAGTTATCTCTGAACATGGCTGGGTTCAGCGGAGTGCTGAAGCTGACGGATCTTGACGACTTCATCGCTCCCTCACAGGTAACTGTATGCATTAGTTTCGTAACTAACATTGCTGTTCTTTGATTTAGATTAATTTTTTTTTTAATTTTGTCAATGAAGTGGCTACATTATATTTTTTTTAAATTTTGTCAATGAAGTGGGTAGGTTATTGAGCACTTGTGTCCTTTCTGTGGATGCTAATTCAAGATTAAGTATATAATAAGTCACTTTGACTTTTTTTTTTTTTTTTTTTTTTTTTTTTTTCAACAAGTCGGTCGTCTCCCACCGAGGCAGGGTTATTCTAGGTAATTTACAATATGTATGATAATTGTACTTATGTGTACCTGTGCCTAAATAAACTTACTTACCTACTTAAGTTTATTTAGGTACAGGTACACAAAGTACAATTATCATACATAGTGTAAATTACCAGGATAATGAAAAAAAAAGTCAAAATGGCTTATTTCCATTGAGGTCCTTGTAATATCTTATTATTTAAACCTTAAAAGTTATAACAGCTAAGTAACTTGACTGTGTTTTATTTAGGTGCAGGTGCACATAAGTATAATTATCATACCTAGTAACAGCATATGGATACAACAAAGGCCTAGGAACTAAACCCTAAAAGGGTTAACAAGAGTACTTCAGGATTTATATCTGCAATTACTTTATTCTATAACCTACAGCATGTGAATCTGGCATTTTGTTTAGTATAATCCTTAATTATAATAAACAGTAGCTGACTGAATTAGACCTAATTGTTAATGCTAGGGAGCTACTCGAAGGCATGAGCAATTAGACCTACTCTGGCATAAGGGAGGTTCCCTGATACCACTGAGGGGTTTTTGATTCAAGAAATTTGTTTTCTTTTTCCTTGGATACAATTTGATTGCCGTTCATTTCCTCTGGGTGCTGTATGACCACAGATTTAGTGGTCCCCCATGAATATGAAAATATAAGATATCTTATTTAACCTAGGTTAAGTCTACATAATATATCATTATTGTATACTGTACATCTTATCTTATTTATCCTAGGTAAAATCCAAATAATGTATCATTATTGTATGCCTAAGCCATGTATGTGTCCTCAGGCCATTGTGTTAATTTTTGCTCTACTAGTGTCTGCCAAATATTTATTACCCCAGTTCATAACTTTTATTGATCGTCATTTCTTTGAATGCCACACTTTTGTAAAGTAAGAACTATTTGCCATGAAAAGAAAAAAAAAGCGCATATAATAAAAACGTGATACCCAAAATATTAATTATTAATTTATTATTTTGTCAACAGGAATGCATCAAGCCTGTGAAGGTTGAACAAAAATCTGGCAGAGGTGTGATTCGCATTGATAATGATGGAACAGATGCTCTTTCAACAGTGGTATGAAAGTATTGCAAATGAGTTTTGGCAATATATAAAGTTGACAGCTTCATAGAACTTATGATACACGTCTAAATACCAGTGTGTGTTAATCTTTGTTGTGTCTAAGGGCTATGGCAGCACTGGCCGTATGATCCAAGCTTCCAAAATTACTAAATGCTTCCTGACTGCACTATTTTTACATTACTGTACTTTTGCTTCTTATTGCCCACTTCAGTAATTTAATTACTTATAATATGGTTTGTACTATGCCTTGAAATTTTGCTTGAAATATTGAGCATATAATGCCATACCATCAGTGTTACAAGTTAAAGAACAGTAATTACAAATCTTCCTCTTTCATCAAACCGGCCATATCCCACCAAGGCAGGGTGGCCCAAAAGGAACAACAAAAGTTTCTCTTTTTAAATTTAGTAATTTATACAGGAGAAGGTGTTGGTAGCCCCTTGCTCCCGGCATTTTAGTTGCCTCTTACAACATGCATGGCTTACGGAGGAGGAATTCTGTTCCATTTCCCCATGGAGATAAGAGGAAATAAACAAGAACAAGAAGTAGAAAGAAAATAGCAGAAAACCCAGAGGGGTGTGTGTATATATATGCTTGTACATGTATGTGTAGTGTGACCCAAGTGTAAGTAGAAGTAGCAAGACGTACCTTAAATCTTGCATGTTTATGAGACAGAAAAAAGGTCACCAGCAATCCTACCATCATGTAAAACAATTACAGGCTTTTGTTTTACACTCACTTGGCAGGACGGTAATACTTCCCTGGACGGTTGCTGTCTACCAACCTACTACCTAGGGTAATTACAAATGTATGTAGTCACCCTGCCTCGGTGGGAGACGGCCGACTTGTTGAAAAAAAAAAAAATGTAGTAAATAGTAGAAAGTGTATATTTGTGGATGTAAAAATTAGATTGACTAAATCTTTATAAAAAACTTGTATAAGTTGAGCAAATAATGATGGATAGTGAAATATAATGTTATATGGTATAATGAGAAATACAGATACTGTAATGAACTGATAATGTAAGTTTATTTAAGTACTGTATAGGTAGTGTCTTATAAATATAGGATATAACAGTTATCATACAAAATAACATATATAAATCACAGAACAATGCAGAACAATAATTGTATTTTAAATGATACACACAGTAAAGAAGACTGGTTAAGATTGTGCAGAAAGGAAAAATGGAGCAAAAAATGACAGGGGCTCAAGTTTATGATTGGAACATTATCTTGTTTGTGTTTACTGCAGATATTTTGTTGCAGTTTTAATTTGATAAATCCTTTTCCTTATTACAGCCAAAATATGAGAAAGCCAAGATTACACTGAATGATTGCTTGGCATGCAGTGGATGTATTACATCAGCTGAGGTGGTGTTGGTCAATCAACAAAGTCACGATGAATTTTATAGGTGCGTGCATGCATTCTCAAAATCTCTTATGTCTTAAAAGTTGCTTTCCACAAGTAAATGGGATGAATGCCTTATGATGATATTTGTTTGAATTAGGTATAGATTTTAGGAAATATCCTGAGGTCAGTATAAATTTTGCATTTCAGAGTTCTTGCAGAGAACAGTAATCTTCAAGAGTGTGAGAGGAGGACTGTTGTAGTGTCATTGTCACTCCAGGCAATACTCTCTATTTCTGCCAAGTTTTTCCTCAGGCCTCATGAATGTGCTCAAAAATTAGCAGGTATGTAGATGTCTTTTGAGTTTTTTTTTTTTTATCATATTATCCAATTCCAACTTTAGTAGGCTGACTCCATTATTTATAAAAAAGTAAACTTATTCAGTGTCATAGGTGCCTTCTGAATTCACAGCGCTGGTGATCTGTGCTGTAAAATTAAGGAATAAAAAATAGGTTTACATTCCAGAAATGAAGACTAATCTTTCCTTCCCCTCGAAAAAAAAAAATAAAATAAAATTGATAAAACATTGCTACACAGCTTGGCTCACAGTCTTGCAGTCTCACTTCCTATAGTTGAATCTTGTGTAGGGTTGGTGATGTTGACCTATTGGGCTGAGGTGAAAGATTATTCTTGTAAGTGGTACTTGACAGAGTTCAGGTCTTCATGGCTATGTTAGTTTTGTAACATAATCTGTATTTTTTGTGTTGTGCTACTCTGTATTGATTTGTAGAGCTCATGCTCTTTGAGGGAGGTGCCTTAATGTTGGTGAGGGGCTCATGATCCAAGAATTGAACTTGGTGGTGGGAAGTACAATGCCTGCACTTTAAAGGAGGGGTTTGGAATATGTGCTGTTCAGAGTGGTATATAAACTGTCATATCTGTGTGCCTCTGCAAAGACAGTGATAGTGTAAATGATGGTGAAAGTTTCTTTTTTTTGGTTCTCCCTGCCTCAGTGGGATATGGCTCACTTGTTGAAAAAAAAATAATAATAATAGTATTTATTATTCATCATCTATCAGCAGTTATCATACATTTGTTCAATTCACAATATTTACAGTATTTACAGATTTTCATGAAGATTGTAATAAAGAAAAATAATGATCTTATCTTTTATAACCTTCCTGCATTTTTCAGGTTATTTCAAGAAGCTGGGTGTACATTATGTTTTTGATATAAACTTTGCTCGTAGCCTTAGTTTGCTGGAAGCACAGAAGGAGTTTCTCGCCCGATACAGGAGAAAAGATGTTGATTCAAAAGCATTGCCAATGCTTGCATCAGCATGCCCAGGTAAAGTTTGTTAAACACTCCTCCCGTGCAGTCTCTGGGTTTGTAAAGTATAATTACACTAATTTGCTGTATTGGTTTTATTAATTTGTAATTCACATGGTTCGCTTTGCAATCTGCAGTTTGAAACCTTGGGTCTTAGAATCAAGTTCTTGTTGAGCTGTACTAAAATTTCACTTTCCATTAATCACTTTGAATATCATAAGATATACTTTACTGTGATTATAAATAATGTTTATTATTTTAGAAACAAACATTAATTGAGATATTTGTGTGGCTTGTTCTGCAAAATTTACATACATTTACACAATCAGCAGTTAATTGTTAATAAGGATATTACTCTGTGTAAATTGGGTAACTGATGTGTGGTGCAAGGGTATAAAGTGTCATCCTTAATACATTTCGAGGATGGGTTGCCTCCTGAACCCAGATCCATGCACAGTTTTACTCATTAGTGTAGCAGGATACAAGTTCTTAGTGTACTGTAAATCATAATTAAGCCCTGTAATGCAGAATTATCTTTATGACTCAGGTTGGATATGTTATGCAGAAAAAACCCATGGGTCATATATTTTGCCTTACATTAGTAATGGCAGGAGTCCCCAGCAGATGATGGGAGTGTTAGTAAAGGACTTGTGGTCTACACGAAAGGGTATTACTCCAGATAAGGTGAGTCAATAACTGTTTCACGGAATATGCACATGCCACTTCTAATATGATATGCATAAATAATTTCGTAGGTGTCGAAGTATTTAATTATTCACTTTCAACTGACATATTTTAGTTATTCTGTCCATGAAATTGAAAAAAAACTAAAAGTAAATAGTGACATACATTATTTGAATACTGAATAGAAATCCTTCTGATATAACACTTAAAACAAAGCATCCCATATACCTGTACATACCATTATGAATAACTTGGAAAATATAGGTTAAGGGTAAATTTCTTCATGTTTTTATTGAGACAGTGCTGACACATATTGGAAAGGACCAAGGAAGGTAATATTTCTCCAGCTGTTTGAAATATGACAGGGCATCATTAATCCATAATCATATGGAAGTGTGTTGAATAATGAGGCATCAACTGTGATGATGTACATGGTGCTGTACTGTATTTCTTTCCTCAGTAGGCTGGATAAACCAGAGTCCCTGTCAATTTGAATTTTCAGAAGCACCCTTGTTCTCATTTATAAATTCAGTAAATTGTGCAAGAACTGGGACTTGAAAATAATTTATATGATAGGTTAAATACTGACAATATATCACCTGTTTCTCTAGCTACAAATGAGTAAATTATAAATAAGTAATGACAAGTGTATGTACAGTGGACCCTCGAATTTAGTAGTGCCTTTTCTGTATTCAAAACTATTTTTATTATCTATAAAATGTCTTTTCCAGATTTACCACGTAACAGTTATGCCCTGTTTTGATAAGAAGTTAGAAGCAGCCCGAGATGACTTCTACAATGATTTGTACTCTACACGTGAGGTGGACTGTGTTATAACCTCAGGTATTTTATACCATTTTTATATTCAACCTCAGGTATGGTTGAGAACCTTAGAAAAAAAAATTCCTTTTTACCTCGTCAGCTATTTTCCACCAAGGCAGGGTGACCCAAAGAAGAAAACACATTGTCCATCACTCATTCAGTAACTAGATTGCTACTGAACTGCATTATTTCATTATTATTTTTAACTGTATTTTTTTTTTACAGTACATTATGTCTACAGTAATTTTTTAATTATTTTTACCATGTGATAAGAAAATACTTACTGTATAGTAATTTTCCATTGTCACATTATGGGGAATCAAATTCAAAATGGGAATTGACACAGTTACTTTTTGCTGATGATACTGTGCTTATGGGAGATTCTAAAGAAAAATGCAAAGGTTAGTGGATGAGTTTGGGAATGTGTGTAAAGGTAGAAAGTTGAAAGTGAACATAGAAAAGAGTAAGGTGATGAGGGTGTCAAATGATTTAGATAAAGAAAAATTGGATATCAAATTGGGGAGGAGGAGTATGGAAGAAGTGAATGTTTTCAGATACTTGGGAGTTGACGTGTCGGCGGATGGATTTATGAAGGATGAGGTTAATCATTGATGAGGGAAAAAAGGTGAGTGGTGCGTTGAGGTATATGTGGAGTCAAAAAACGTTATCTATGGAGGCAAAGAAGGGAATGTATGAAAGTATAGTAGTACCAACACTCTTATATGGGTGTGAAGCTTGGGTGGTAAATGCAGCAGCGAGGAGACGGTTGGAGGCAGTGGAGATGTCCTGTTTAAGGGCAATGTGTGGTGTAAATATTATGCAGAAAATTCGGAGTGTGGAAATTAGGAGAAGGTGTGGAGTTAATAAAAGTATTAGTCAGAGGGCAGAAGAGGGGTTGTTGAGGTGGTTTGGTCATTTAGAGAGAATGGATCAAAGTAGAATGACATGGAAAGCATATAAATCTATAGGGGAAGGAAGGCGGGGCGGGGTAGGGGTCGTCCTCGAAAGGGTTGGAGAGAGGGGGTAAAGGAGGTTTTGTGGGTAAGGGGCTTGGACTTCCAGCAAGCGTGCGTGAGCGTGTTAGATAGGAGTGAATGGAGACGAATGGTACTTGGGACCTGACGATCTGTTGGAGTGTGAGCAGGGTAATATTTAGTGAAGGGATTCAGGGAAACCGGTTATTTTCATATAGTCGGACTTGAGTCCTGGAAATGGGAAGTACAATGCCTGCACTTTAAAGGAGGGGTTTGGGATATTGGCAGTTTGGAGGGATATGTTGTGTATCTTTATATGTGTATGCTTCTAGACTGTTGTATTCTGAGCACCTCTGCAAAAACAGTGATAATGTGCGAGTGTGGTGAAAGTGTTGAATGATGATGAAAGTATTTTCTTTTTGGGGATTTTCTTTCTTTTTTTTTGGGTCACCCTGCCTCGGTGGGAGACGGCCGACTTGTTGAAAAAAAAAAAAAAAAAACATTGATGTGATATTTTTAAATTAACATTTTTCTGTGTTGAATGTAATAGGCATTAATTTCATAGTGTTGTGACATTAATGTATCAGCTTTTATCATACATCATCTTATTTATTATTGTTCATGTATAAAATGACTATAAACTAAGCTAATACAGTTTATAAATAAAAATATAATTGCACTTTAAAGGAGGGGTTTGAGATACTGGCAGTTTGGAGGGGTATGTTGTGTATCTTTATATGTATATGCTTCTAAACTGTTGTAGTCTGAGCACCTCTGCAAAAACAGTGATAATATGCGAGTGTGGTGAAAGTGTTGAATGATGATGAAAGTATTTTCTTTTTGGGGATTTTCTTTCTTTTTTGGGTCACCCTGCCTTGGTGGGAGACGGCCGACTTATTGAAAAAAAAAAAAATTGTACTTTCAGTGGAGGTGGAACAAATGCTGCTTAGAGATCAGGTGGAGTTGCCATCTGTCGACCCAGTAGAATTGGATAGCGATTTGAGCTCAGGACCAGTGTTGACTTCCCACCATGGCTCCAGTTCTGGGGGCTATGCTCACCATGTATTTATCTCTGCTGCAAGAGAATTATTTGATCTGGATCAGGATAAGTTACAATGGAAAACATTAAGGTAATGTAGTTTCCAATATTTTATATTTCCCTTTCAATTAATAATTCGTATTAAAGTCCTTGACCTGTTATCCGAAGGCCACATAAGTGTATTGACAATTGAGGCTCCACTGACTTGCATTGTATTGTAATTAGGATATTTTGAATTGTCGTAGTCTTGTCTGGACTTTGTTTTGGAATCAGCAGTAATTAAAAGACTGATGTCATTAGTATGCTTCAGTTATTAAACAAATAGGCAATATACATGTTGCCTAATACTGTATATGGATATTAGAGAAGAGAATCACACACCATGTGTTGGCACCCATAACACACACCAAGCTGTTGTTGTTGTTGTTAAGGGCCCCGAGAGGTGGTGCAGTATTATCCTGCTGCTGCTCCCCACAGGAGCAGTATCACTACAATCTCCCCCTTCTAAAATATCAGGGACAGTAATCTCCCAAACTGTTAGGTGGGCGACGTACACATCCCGACCTTCGTAGCCCTTGAGCCTCTTCACCAGGTTCAATATTTTCCAGCGGGGTTTGACTAACTGCTGGAGCAGAATCCTCTATTTCCATAGGGGTAGTCTCAAGGGGCTTTCCAGGAGAAAACGAAGCATCTTTCACATCTATTAGTGTATCTTGAGATTCCACACTAATGGGGATTTCAGCTGGGGCTAAATGTCTTGTAGATACTGTAGTTTCTTCACCATTTTGGTAGCGAATGTGGGCGTAATGTGGATTAGCCTGCAGGAGCTCTACCTCTTCCACTAAAGGATCCGTCTTGTTCATCCTACTTCAGGAGAACGGGTCCAGGATGACATAACCAAGTGGGCACGGAGGCTCCCGTAGAGGAACGACGTGAATAGTTGAGGAGTCTTTCATGAGGGGTTGCATTAGTAGCTGTGCACAGCAATGATCTAATAGAGTGAAGAGCCTCAGGTAGGACAGTTTGCCATTGTTGAACAGGTAGATTGCGCGACTTCAATGTCATTGTAACTGCCTTCCATATAGTACCATTGAACTGCTCCACTTGACCATTGCCTTGAGGGTTGTAGCTTTTGTTCTGCTGCAGGCAATACCTTTGCTAGCGAAAAACTCCTGAAGTTCGTTACTCATGAACGAGGATCCCCTGTCTGAATGGATATAAGCTGGCATACCAGAAATAGAGAACAACTGTGAAAGACAACTAATAACAGTTGAAGCAGTCATATTTGCACAGGGGAACACAAAGGGAAACCTTGAATATTCATCTACTATGTTAAGGAAATATCTATTCTGATTTATGCTTGGTAGAGGTCCTTTGAAATCTATATTCAGTCTCTCAAAAGGCTGGGTGGATTTTATGAGATGAGTCTTCTCTGGCTGATGAAAGTTTGGCTTGCACTCTGCACGTACTCTGCATGCTCTGATCACTTGTCGCACATCTTCCACTGAGTAGAGCATGTTCTTTGATTTGATGAAATGGTACAGGCGCGTAACTCCTGGGTGACACAAAGCCTTGTGGAGCGCTGAGAGTGATTGCAAATCATGACATGCTGCTCCACAGTAGGACCTAGAGAATGCATCATGTGAGATGTTCTCTTGACCCGGTTGGTACAGAATATCAAAGTCATAACACGATAGTTCCATCCTCCAGCGTAATATCTTGTCATTCTTTATCCTACTTTTGTGCTTCTTGTTGAACATATACATCATGGACTGTTGGTCAGTCCTTATGGTGAAATGTCTACCAGTTAAATAATGCCTCCAGTGGCGAACTGCTTCTATGATGGCCTGGGCTTCCTTTTCTACAGCAGCGTAACACTTCTCTAATCCTTGAAAAGTTCTCGAAAAGAAGGCTACTGGTCGTCCTGCCTGAGATAGGACTGCAGCAATGGCTATGTCAGATGCATCTGTTTACACTTTGAATGGTAGGGACTCATCAATGGCTTGAACTACTGAGTTTTCAATGTCCTGCTTGAGAGTATGGAAAGCGGCTTCTGCTTTCTTTGCCACAGGAAATATGGTAGCACTCAATGGGCGGACTTTACTTGAATAGTTGTAGATCCATTGTGAGTAATAAGCAAAGAGACCAAGAGTTCTTCGGAGTGACCTTTTGTCTTGAGGCATTGGAAGTTCCCGTAGAGGTCGTAGTCGTTCAGGGTCTGGGAATATTGAACCTCCTTCCACTACATAACCAAGGATGCTAAGCCTTTTAGTTGAAAAAGTGCACTTTTTCTCATTGTAACTGATATTTTTCTTCTTGGCAGCTTCCAAAAACTTATCAAGGTTTGCATCATGTTCCTCCTGGGTCTTACCGCCCAATAAGCCTGACCTCAATTGTAGGCAAATTACTAGAGTCAGTTATAGCTGAGATTATAAGAAGCCATCTCGATAAGCATAGCTTGATTAATGATACTCAGCATGGATTCACAAGAGGCCAGTCTTGTCTAACTAATTTATTAACTTTCTTCAGTAAAGCTTTTGAGGCTGTTGACCACAATAAAGAATTTGATATTATTTACTTAGATTTTAGTAAGGCTTTTGATAGAGTTCCGCACCATAGACTGTTAAAGAAAGTGGCAGCTCATGGCATTGGGGAAAAAGTGCTCTCGTGGATCGAGTCATGGCTCACTGACAGGAAGCAGAGAGTGTCCATAAATGGGGTTAAATCCGAGTGGGGATCTGTAACAAGTGGCGTTCCACAGGGATCAGTCTTGGGCCCGTTGTTGTTTATAATATATATCAATGATCTTGATGAGGGAATTACTAGTGATATGAGCAAATTCGCCGATGACACAAAGATAGGTAGGATAATTGATTCAAACGTAGATGTTATGGAACTTCAGGAGGATTTAAACAAACTCTATTCTTGGTCAGAAAAGTGGCAGATGCAGTTCAATGTAGATAAATGCAAGGTTCTGAAGCTCGGGAGTGTCCATAACCCTAGTACTTATAAGTTAAATGATGTAGAACTTAGCCATACAGATTGCGAAAAGGACTTGGGGGTTATGGTGAGCAGCAACCTTAAACCAAGACAGCAATGCCTAAGCGTACGTAATAAGGCAAATAGATTACTGGGATTTATATCAAGAAGTGTAAGCAACAGAAGTCCAGAGGTCATACTGCAGCTTTATACATCATTAGTAAGGCCTCACCTAGATTATGCAGCTCAGTTCTGGTCTCCATATTAAAGAATGGACATAAATTCGTTAGAAAACATTCAGCGTAGGATGACTAAATTAATACATAGCATTAGAAATCTTCCTTATGAAGAAAGATTGAAGACTCTTAAGTTACATTCACTTGTTAGACGAAGAATGAGGGGAGACCTGATCGAAGTGTATAAGTGGAAGATAGATATTAATAAAGGGGATATTAATAAGGTCTTGAGGATGTCTCTCCAAGAGAGAACCCGCAGTAATGGATTTAAATTAGATAAGTTTAGATTTAGAAAGGACATAGGAAAGTATTGGTTTGGAAATAGGGTAGTTGATGAGTGGAACAGTCTACCTAGTTGGGTTATTGAGGCTGGGACTTTGGGTAGTTTCAAATTTAGGTTGGATAAGTACATGAGTGGGAGGGGTTGGATTTGAGTGGGACTTTCACATCAGAGCTTATTTCTTGGGTGGCATTGAAAATTGGGTTGGGCAAATGTTTTGTTAGTGGGATGAATTGTAAAGGACCTGCCTATTATGGGCCAACAGGCCTCCTGCAGTGTGCCTCCTTTCTTATGTTCTTGCCACAAATGGTAACATTGTCTAAATACGCATGAGTTCCCATGAGTTGCTCTTCCTGAATGAGTGAATCCATAATTCGTTGGAAGCAGGCTACCCCATTGGTGACTCCAAAAGGGACTCTGGTAAACTGATACAGGCCATCACTAGCCTGAAACGCTGTGTATGGTTTATCTTCATTCCTTATAGGGACTTGATGATAGGCACTCTGTAGATCAATTGTGCTAAATACATAGTACTGAGCAATTTTGTTCACTGTATCATCAATTCGAGGTAGAGGGTACCCATCAAGAAGTGTAAATTTGTTGATTGTCTCAGAGTAATCGATAGCCATCTCCATTTCCTATAATCATCCTTAACAACAACAACCTGTGCACGCCAAGGGGAATTACTTGGTTCTATAATACCCTCCTTCAGCAGTCTCTGAGTTTCTTTCTCAATGAACATCCGATCCTCATAAGAATAGCGGCGTGACTTAGCTGATATAGGATGGCAGTCCGCGGTAAGATTTGCAAACAGCTTTGGTGGGTCTACCCTTAAAGTGCTAAGTCCACAGACAACAAGAGGAGGCAGTTCACCTCCATATGTTAAGGTGACACTACCATGCAGCTTCTGAAAGTCCTGACAAAGGATAACATAAGAGCACAGTTGTGGCAGAATAGCTAAATGTACATCTTGATAATCCTTTCCATTAACTCTGAGATTTACCTTACAAAACCCTAAGGTCTGAATAGAGAGAGATGTTGATGCCATGGAAACGGTACCTGATGAGTGATGTACAGTCAAGGAGTGGCGTTTAACTAAGTCAAGGTTGATGAAACTCTCTGAGCTGCCACTATCAATAAGACCATCTACTTCTGTTCCTTTGATGAATACTTTCACAACTGCCTTTGACAGTGAATTTGGAGTAGCCACAGAAGTCACTGTTGCTAGAATCACATGATCACTGGAATGTGTGGAGGCACTAGCTCTTGTTGATGCATTAGCACGACATACTTTAGCAAAGTGACCTTTCTTGTGGCATTTATGGCACATTGCTTCACGAGCAGGACACTTTGGACGTGGATGTCTTGAAAAACTACAAAAGAAACACACCGTACCTGCTGCTGCTGTCACTGAGGCAGGTTCCACAGTAACTTCATTGCAAGAGTCTTGGTCAGGAATTGCAGCACTTACCACTTGAGAAGGCTGAGTGGTACTGTATACTTCAGAATTCTTCTGGGCTGAATCTAGAGCTCTTGCCTGGTCAAAGGCAGTGGCTAAGTCGAGAGATTTATTCTCCAATAAACGTTGCCTTATTATTGGTGATTGCAGGCCACTGATAAAAGCATCCCTGATGGACTCTTCACAATACTGAGCAGCTGTCACTGCTTGGAAGTGACAGTCCTTACCTAAAATTTTCAGTGCTTGAAGGTATTCCTCTAAGGATTCATCAGTCTGCTGGCGGCGAGTTGCAATGCGATATCGTGCAAAGATTTCACTTGTAGGTTTAATATACTGAGACTTGAGGGTTTTGATAGCATCTTCATAGGTATTACACTCAGAAATAGCCTCGTATATCTTAGGTGACACAAAATTGATGAGCAGACTTAGTTTATCTAGATCTTTTATAGGAACAGCTCCCAAGAAGCTTTTGAAAGTCTTAAACCAGTGCTTCCATTCCTGAGCAGCCGTTGATAAGCTGGGGTCACAGTCTAGCCTCTCAGGTTTCAGTAAACGCTCCATGTTGTGATGTAGTCTAGCGCAGGATCACCACCAGGTAGCCCAGGATTCTATGTTCAGTAAATTGTTGTGATAGAAACACAGGCCACATATTTAAACTCACCATGTAATCTGCATCACTAATATATGGATATAAGAGAAGAGAATCACACACCATGTGTTGGCACCCATGACACACACCAAGCTGTTGTTGTTGTTAAGGGCTCCGAGAGGTGGTGCAGTATTATCCTGCTGCTGCTCCCCACAGGAGCAGTATCACTACAGTACATTTTGCATAAAAATATAATAAAGTAAACCAGTTTAACAAGAATGAAATATTGTAGCATAAAATACAAAACTCATTTTGGAGTGTCAGTAACCTCTGCCTTTTCACCCCTCTATCTCTTCCTCTCCTTTCCTTCCTCACACTCTTCTTCCCTCTTATTTTTTTTTTAACCTGCCTTGTGGCCAGCAGTAACAGCCTGGTTGATAAGGCCCTGATCCACCGTGAGGCCTGGTCACAGACCAGGCCGTGGGGGTGTTAACCCCCGAAGCCTTCTCCAGGTATCTGCAGAGGCAAGGTGACCTGAAAAAAGAAGCAGCAAAAGTTTTTCTTTTTACATTTAGTAATTTATACTTGGCTATTGCTCCTGACATTTTAGTCGCCTCTTATGACACGCATGGCTTACGGAGGAAGAATTCTTCTCCACTTTCCTCATGGAGTTCCTCCCTCTTATATCTACTCGTTTTGCTTGAAGTTATTCAACCATACATAGGGGATGAGCTCTCCTTTGTTTTTGTTAGTAAATTAATGAAAAACACCCTCCAATTCTTATATTTTTTTTATTTTCTAAGTGCTCTGCATTTACTCATTGGCTCCATAGATTCAGTAGTTGCATCATATTTTAAAAATTATTTTAAATATGCAAACTCTAGTTGGAATTCAGAACAATGCAAGTCTGGTGGTTCAGCCAGCTTGCTGAAGAACCCCAAGTAGAAAATGCCAGGAGAAAATGTCAAATCAACCAGATTGTAATGGCTGTATAGGCCTGCAGACTACTGGCAGTAACAGCCTGGTTGACCAAGCAGTTGACAGAGGTCTAACCTCTGATAGGGCTTGTAGAGTAGAACTCAGAAACCAGTCACAGGTATGTTTCCCAGAAGAGCCACCATTCTTTACTGCCACCATAATAGTCAAAGATAATGGGAAATTAGTGTCAGAAATACATGTTTATTGAAGAAATGGATGTGATGTGTTTTGCTGTAACTCCTGATAAAGTAGCCGTATTTTTCCGTTATGCAACAAACTTTAGTCCCGAATTTTTTTTTGTATAATAACATTAATGACTGTATATGATTACAACATGCATATAAATACTGTAGAGATAACACTTGAGGAGATAGATAGTGATTGATATGGAAATATTATTCTCTTTATTTTTCTGTGCAGTATAAAATTGGTAATCTACTTTTCTCTATAATTTAGGAATGTAGATTTCCGTGAAGTCACCTTGGAAGTGAATGGAGAGACTGTGTTACGGTTTGCATTGGCTTATGGATTCCGTAACATTCAGAACCTTGTGCAGAAACTGAAAAGAGGGAAGAGCCAGTACCATTACATTGAAGTTATGGCATGCCCTTCAGGTAAGACCTGCACTACTGCTTCAGTGCAATACTCTCACTTTAGTTAGAAACTACTGTATATGTTAGAGCAAGCATTATTGTGGCAGCTCTAATCTTATTAGTCTTTTTGGTGTAAATGGAAGGTTTTGATTATATTTTATCAGTTTATGGTTTGTTTACTATGATTTTATATTTTATTATAATTCATTAATTTTTAAATGGTTCACTACTTACTTGGCTTAACAGCAGATAGGCTAATTGAAAGGTAACCACCACTTTGAACCACAATCACCTTGGCTGCAGCAGGTAGTTCTCTTGTTCCCTGGAAGCCATCTCTTACCTACTCGGTGTACACCACTAGTATACTGCCTCCGGAATTAGCTGAGCAAGCAAACTGCCAATTTGGACGAGCACAACTCTGCAGTTGTCTTTTGGCTAATAATGACAGTGGATGAACCAGAAAGAATGCCAGTTACCCCTCCTGGATCTTCAGGCTACTTCGAGTAATACTTTTACTATCAAAAGACTTGAAGGTGTGGTTTGACATTCGAATTCTAGATGATTGGAACAACTGCTAGGTATACTTAGAGTGTGTTCAAGGGGTCAACACCCTCCTAACTTTAAAAATAAGGTGGGCAAATAAGTTGGGTGTTAGTAGGACATCCATGGCAAAGATCAGTAGGCCTACTATAATGCTACTCTAGTATGTTTTTATTATTACTGTATAGTGCTACAGTAGAGTTGCTTCCATGGGTAGATGAAGGAAAAATTACAATACAGTGGACCCCATTCCAGAATTATGTTCAGGTGCCATTACTGAACGAATTTGTTCTCATAAGGAATATTGCGAATTAGGTTAGTCCGTTTCAGACCCCCAAACATACACGTACAAACGCACTTACATAAATACACTTACATAATTGGTCGCATTGGGAGCTGATCGTAAACCGGGGATCCACTGTACTACTTATTTATTATGAAAATGTATTATCAACATTTGTAAAAAAAATTTTATTTATCCCTTGGCTAATAATTCCTCATCTGGTTGTAACCTTTTACCTTATGTTTGTCTTTAGGATGTTTAAATGGTGGAGCACAAATTCGTCCAGATGGCGGTACATCGGCCAAAGATTTGGTATCAAAATTAGAGGAAACCTACGAGTTACTTCCAGCTATCAAGCCCAATGAAGATCCCAGGATTCCATTATGTTACTCTGAATGGCTTGGAGGAGCAGACTCGGCGAAGGCTCAGAAGCAGTTGCGCACTAATTACAAAGCTGTGGAAAAGTCTACTAATGTTTTAGGTATTAAATGGTAGTTAAATATTTAGGTACATACATACCAATAAGGAGCATCGATGTAAAAAAAGATATATGGTAGCTTTATTAAAAAAACTTGTACTGTATTGTATATATTGTACTGTAAATTCTTTTATATTAAACATTTTTAGGTTAATTGTTAGAGTCTACATATATCGTTTATATAACGTCAAACTAAACTGGTATTTTCATTGTAACCCTCCTATGCTAAAGTGAGTTCAGTGACACTCAGAATTAAAACATGGTACTATAATATTAAAAATATGAATAAGTAAGTAAGTACTGAAGCAGGAATAGAACATTCTCCCAGTATTTTAGTGGGACATGAGCAATTTTTACAGAAAGTCTACAGAGTGAAGGCTAGGCACAAATTTATAATTATGAGTCATATAGAATCAGATTAATTTATCTTCTGTACATTATAAATTACTTAAAATTTTTGTATTTTTTATATAGAATAACATGATTTAGTTGAAAACTTACCATGAAAACTTGTACTGATATTGTTACAAGCTTAACAATAAAAGGAATTTAAAATTCATCTCTATTAACAGAGAGTAGTATCGTAGTATCGTGTGTGTGCTAGTCTAACCTAGCCTTTTAGCTATACAGTGGACCCCCGCATAACGATCAGCTCCCAACTCGACCAATTATGCAAGTGTATTTTTGTAAGTGCTTTTGTAGGTGTATTTTTAGGGGTCTGAAACGGACTAATCTAATTCACAGTATTTCTTATGGGAACAAATTCGGTCTATAACGGCACCCAAACAGACTTCTGGATTGAAATAATATCGTTATGCGGGGGTCCACTGTATTTAAATTTAGCTGATATTAGTTACCTTAAAATATTCTATAATATTAATGTTGATATTGATTGAGACCCATACCTGCTATCTCACATTTACTACACAGCAGTCCCCTCAAGGGAAGTTCCTTGATGCTGGTGAGTGGCTCTTGATCTATGAGATTGGATCTGTGCTCCAGTTCCCTGAATTGAGCCTAAATGCCTTCCATCCCCCCCACATGCACTGTATAATCCTATGGGTTTAGCACTCCCCTGTGATTATAATAATAATAATAATTACACAGCAGTCACTGGAAGTTTCCTTGATAATCTCTTCAAAAAGGGAAATGCCTTGTTGCTATTGAAGAGCTCTTGATTCGAGGAACTGAAGCTGCCTTTACTTTAGATCTAACCTAATTACATCTCACTATGTGTTGTATGGTTCCTATGGGTTTGTTTGTTATCTATGTTCTCCAAGTCTGTCAGGAGGCATCACATTATCCCACTAGGAAGTGCCTGAATAAAAGCAGAGGTCTCTTGAACATCAGCTTAAAATCTACACTGTATTCATGTAATTTGGAACTTTGCAAGAACATCGTCAGGAAAACGTGCATGATTTATTTTCCCTTTAGCATGTAATAACGCTAGTCTTTTCAAAGAGGCATTTTGATGCTGGTGACAGATCTCTGATCTGAAAAATCAGAGCCACCTTCCTCATCTATGGTTGAGGCCTAATTGCCTCCTATTTTTCAAGTGCTATATAACTCCTATGCATTGAGCACTTCTCCACAAACCAGTTCCTTTTTTCAAGACCCCTCAAAACTGCATCCCATTCTCCATATGGGTTTAGCACTTCCTCTTGCATGTAATAATGTATATCACGATTATAATAATGGCCTCAAAGGGCTCTGACCAAGAAGCTTTAATTGGCGTCTTTTTGCCAATTGAAGGAAAAAAACAAAAAATTCAATCACTTTAGGACATGTTTAATAGAAATGCTTTGGTCTTGGTATCTTGGATACTCCAAATGTGTATAAGGGTAAGAAAAACAAGCTTATACATATAAGTTGAGAAGATTTATTGTATCCCCCTGATTAAAATACAGAACAGTCAGGAAGGCTCCTGAGAAGAGAGGTCCGGCAGCATGTTACCTGACAGAGCGGAGGCCAACCCTGATTCAGTACCTCAGCACACACCATGAAATGTATCTATAGTATATAGTCCAACCTGGCAATAGTGTAACCAACAACAGCACTGGTTGTAAGGAATTGTAGCATCTGAAATCATTAAAGAACTCATTAAAAGAAGACCCACAATGCAACAACTTACTAATATTGCTGGTGTCTACACAGTGTGTGGTCATGGTGAAAAGGTGTATGTTAAAGGAGAGACAGGCAGTAATTGCATGCAACGAGGACAGTCTTAGCAATACAAGGCTAGTCCATAGAACACAGGGACATTTATTGGGTTGAGCCAAAGTGAAAATGATCACTATAGACACCATTGCTATAATAAGTTCAGTCACACAAAAGAGCAGGAAATTGTAATATTTGCCATGAAATTGGCACACATGCTCATCAAACTTTCCCCAGCACCAGGTGCAAGCCCCTCAAGGAAGGTTCCTTGATGTTGGTGAGGGGCTCTTGATTTAGGGAATTGGATCTGTGCTCCAGTTCCCCGAATTAAGCCTGAATGCCTTCCACATCCCCCCCCCCCAGGCGCTGTATAATCTTCCGGGTTTAGCGCTTCCCCCTTGATTATAATAATAATAATAATAACCAGGTGCAAGACCCCTTCTTCTTAGGGCCTTCTTGACTATACAGCTTATGCTGTATAGCCCTTGTGGCTTAGCGCTTCGTTTTGATTATAATAATAATAATATACAGCTTATGTTATTTGACCCCTCAAGGGAGGTTCCTTGATGCTGGTGAGTAGCTCTTGATCTAGGGAATTGGATCTGTGCTCCAGTTCCCTGAATTGAGCCTGAATATCTTCCATCCCCCCTCAGGCGCTGTATAATCCAATGGGTTTAGCACTCCCCCTGATTACAATAATAATTATGTCATTTGTATCTTCATGTAAATTTGAAGTGACCGTGGTCCCAGGACCGAAATATTCCATTAAACATGTCGTAATGTGGCTGCATTTTTGTTCCGTTCCTTGATGGTATCATATATCTTTGTATGCAGTAATGTCAACCCAAGATAACCCACCAGAGCAAAGTTACATAGTTCATTCAACTTACGGAAGGTTCAAATCCATGGCAAGCCAATCCTAAAACTAGCAGGCCGGTGTGCCAGTTTATTCATGTTGGTGCAGCACTGTACAACCCTTATGGGTTTAGCACTTAGTTATGATTTTAATAATAATTCAAATTGGTGTTCTCCTCTCAAGGGGGTGACTTAATGCCAGTTAAGGGCTCTTGATCCATGGAACAACCTTATCCTTCCATGACTCACGAAATCGTAATGACACGATTGCAAACAAACCATACCCCGGCCGGGATTGAACCCGCGGTCAGAGAGTCTCAAAACTCCAGCCCGTCGCGTTAGCCACTAGACCAGCTAGCCACAATAAGATTCGTCCAACTAGGTATATTTCTACACCATAGGAAGGTTAGCACAGGCACCTCTGTGACCACAAATGCAAGTTTTTACAGACGAATCTCCAGCTAGCGTGGCCGTGACGAACTCTAGCTCAAGTCCCTTCACTGCCGTCAACATGACTCACGAAATCGTAATGCGACGGGCTGGAGTTTTGAGACTCTCTGACCGCGGGTTCAATCCCGGCCGGGGTATGGTTTATCCTTCCATTCCTTACATCAAACCTGAATGCCTCCCATGCCTCCAAGTGCTATATGACTCCTAAGGATTTAGTGCTCTCCATGGCTGCACTATTAGATGCCAATGAGGGGCTCTAGATCCAAAGAATTGGAGCTATCCTCCCTATCCTTGGGTCGAATTTGAGTGCCTCTCACTCCCATGACAGTATAAATCCTACGTGTTTAGTGCTCCTCCCCATGAATACAATACCTGATAGCAGGTGTAAGCAGTACCTGATTCAAGCAAAAGAGCCCATCAAGGAAGGTTCCTTGATGTTGGTGAGGGGCTCTTGATCTAGGAAATTGGATCTGCTCCAGTTCCCTGAAATTAAGCTTGAATACCTTCCCCCCACAGGTGCTGTATAATCCTACGGGTTTAGCGCTTCCCCACTATTATAATAATAATATTAATCCTTGAATTAAGCCTGAATACTTTCCGCATTCCACCCCCACAGACGCTGCATAATCCTACGGGTTTAGCGCTCCCCCTTGATAATAATAATAGTAATAATCAAGCGTAAGAGTCCTGGATGCTACCCTGGGGGTCTCCACCCTGCAGAGTAAGGTTCCTGGCACAAAAATAAGATGCTATGAGGAATCATTGATACCCTTCTCTTTCTCCCCTCCTCCTCAATGCACACAAGACTAGTCCCAGGGCTAAGGGGTATGTCCTACGAGGAGAGGTTAAGTGAAATCAACCTGATGACACTGGAGGACAGGAAGGATAGGGGGAAAGTAACGGCATATAAAATACTGAGAGGAATTGACAAGGTGGATAGGGACAGGATGTTTCTGAGGTGGGACACAGCAACATAAATGGAAGTTGAAAGACTCAGATGAGTCACAGGGATGTTAGGAAGTACTTCTTCAGTCACAGAGTTGTCAGGAAGTAGAACAATCTGGAGAGTGAGGTAGTAGAGGCAGGATCTATACATAGCCTTAAGAAGATATACGATAAAGTTCATGGAGCAAGGAGAGAGTGGATCTGCTAGCGACCAGGGAAGATGGGGGGCCAGGACCTATGAATCGACCCCTGCAAGCACAAATAGGTGAGTACACACATACATGAGGACCAAGAAAGGCTTCTAAAGGATCTGAACAGACTGCAGGCCTAGTCTGGCAAATGGCTCAGAGTTTAACCACATCCAGTGTAAACAAAAAGCTTTGGGAAGGACAAAGAAAACTGCAGAAGCAGTAAAGGCTCAGGGGTCTAAGGCTGCAAACCTCACTTAGGAGAAGGACCTGGCATTATACCGAGAATATCACCCGAGGGGAACATCAACCAAAGAACTGCTGCAACAAATGCGCGTCTGGCAGTCTATGAATAACTTTTCGACATCTGAGGAGTCATTCACGACACTGTACACCGTGTACGTCAGGCCCATGTTGGAGTATGCAGTACCAGTGTGGAGCCCACACCTTGTCAAGCTTATAAAGAAATTTGAGAGAGTGCAGAAGTTTGCAATAAGGCTAGTCCCGTAGCTAAGGGTTATTTATGCCCCCTAGCTCGGTTGGTCCCGTAGCTGGGTTGATAGCACATTCAGCTCACACACTGAGGTCTGTGGTTCAATCACCAGTACGGGTGGAAACACTGAGTATATTTCCTTAAGACACCTGCTGTTAGTGGACTGGTGTGGGTCACATCCTAACTTGCCAAAATTGCTCTGCGTGACCAGGAGCTTTATGTATAATAATAATAATAATAATAATAATAATAATAATAATAATAATAATAATAATAATAATAATAATAATAGAGTGCATATGTGGTTAAATGGTAAGAAAATACATTAAAACATATTACCAATGAACAATTTATGCCTAAACAATTCACAGGTATGATAATTAATTTCTAAAAAAAAAACTCCCCTTCCAGGTGAGGGGCTTTTCATCCAGGGAACTGGCTCTGCCCTCCGATTCTTATGATCAGCCCTGACTGTCTACCATCCCCCCAGCCTCTGTATGACACCCCGATGGTGGTTAATGTGGGATTTAACGCCTATCTATCACACGAGGGTCATTAGGCTTCATACTACCTTGTTCACCACCACTCAAGAATAATTTAATACCTAAAATAGTGATTTAGGTGTATGTCTATCAGTGTGTATGCACTGAGAGACATACACCTCATGGTACATATATCCTTGTGTTAGCGTTCCCTCACGTATATAATAGTTTAATAAGTCTATAAGCTATTAACTACCATACAGATTGTTCTACCAGTGACAGGTACAATCACAACCATTTAACTATAGAAACACCTTTCTCTTCTAATTACTTTCAAGAAGACATGAATACAAAGCTAATACACAACATATCTGAGTCAAAGATATTCTAGTATGGAACTGGCATAGTAAAATACAATAGTTTTTTTCCCTAACAGACTATAGAGGTAATGAGACAAGGTGTGTTGAGTAGTAGTTTTTAGTGTGTTGACGCAGTATAGCAGGATAGACCTATAATTCCTTCCCCAGGCCCCTCTCACCGCATATATTATGGCCTATACTAATTTATCTACTCAGGTGAGGTTTCATTCTAGTCTAGGTAATGGATCTCTGGTTGTGGTTTATGCCATAGAGTTCGTTAGAAGCTAGAAATGTGGCTAATAATCATGACTGGGCTAATGCGTTGAACTAAACTGGTTAGGGGTTGCCTAGACTGGACTACGTTAGGTTAAATTAGGTTATGTTAGGTTAGGTTAGGTTAATTTCGGTTATGTTAGGTTAGGTTCTGCTGTATAATCCTACGGGTTTAGCGCTTCCCTGTGATTATAATAATAATAATAATGCTAGATTAAATTTGATTATGTTAGGTTAAGTTGATGTTAAATTAGATTATGGAAGGTTAAGTTAGATGATGTTAGACTAAGTTAAATTTGATTATTAAATGATGTTAGGTTAAGTTAAATTAGACTGTTAGATGATGTTAGGTTAAATTAGGTTAAGTTCAAGTCAGGGTACATTAGGTTACAGTAAAATAACTAAAACTAACCCATTCTAACACTAACCTATCAGGCTAAAGCGAAAGCTTTATAATATGGCTAAAGCTCTCGCTTCACACGGCGAGTCCGGGTTCGATTTCCGGCGAGGGTAGAAACATTGGGCATGTTTCCTCATACTAGTTGTCTCTGTTCCCCATCAGTAAAATGGATACCTGGGTGTTAGTCGACTGGTGTGGGTCGCATCCTGGGACAAAACTGACCTAATTTGCGGGAAATGCAGGTGAAATTGCTGACCTAGAAAATGTACAGAGAACCTTCACGGCGCGCATAACGGAGATAAAACACCTCAATTACATGGAGCGCTTGAAGTTCCTGAACCTGTACTCCCTGGAACGCAGGCGGGAGAGATACATGATTATATACACCTGGAAAATCGTAGATGGACTAGTACCGAACTTTCACACGAAAATCACTCACAACGAAAGCAAAAGACTCGGCAGACGATGCAACATCCCCCCAGTGAAAAGCAGGGGTGTCACTAGCACGCTAAGAGACACTACAATAAGTGTCAGGGGCCCGAGACTGTTCAACTGCCTCCCAGCATACGTAAGGGGGATTACCAATAGACCCCTGGCTGTCTTCAAGCAGGCACTGGACAAGCACCTAAAGTCGGTACCTGACCAGCCGGGCTGTGGCTCGTACGTTGGATTGCGTGCAGCCAGCATTAACAGCCTGGTTGATCAGGCTCTGATCCACCAGCAGGCCTGGTCACAGACCGGGCCGAGGGGGCGTTGACCCCCGGAACTCTCTCCAGGTAAACTCCAGGTATAACAAGCGGCTTTTTATATAGTAGTATGTCACTGATGTCAGCTATGGTCTGTATACTTTGTACATGTACTTGTAGTAAATAAAGATATTATTATATAATAATACACAGAAAAGGCACTAGTTAAACCATACCCCGGCCGGGATTGAACCCGCGGTCAGAGAGTCTCAAAACTCCAGACCGTCGCGTTAGCCACTAGACAATCGTGTCATTACGATTTCGTGAGTCAAGGCACTAGGTCTCAGGGAAGCGACTACCTGACCTGTTCTAAGTCCTCCCTACACACAGTAACAATTACAAATGCTTCAAAAAACACATGTAAGAAAAGGAGGCCTATTGTACCTTTCAACTAGGCTTTACCACCTTATAAAGCCTCTTGTTTGAGGAACAACGTAATATATCTCATTGTGTTATGGTACATGACATTTTCCACCACTTGCCAGAGTACAGTTATTCTCGAATCATCGTTAAAAATGACCATGGTTATGATAATTACCAATGAGTCTGAAGTTTGTTGACAACCCGAGGGGTCATTAAGGCGGTAGTTTACTAGTAAATATGTATATACTTTGTATATACATGTTTACTAGTAAACTATGTATATACTTTGTGTGTGGCCTTTATATAGGTTGTGGATATGTATATGTTTTGATAGTACGTGTATATTAAAACAACTGGCAATGATTATTGACCCTTGTTAAAGTAACCGTAAGCAGTTTATATAAATATTTATTTTTATATGGAATATTTGGGTTATCTGTGTGTATATAACTAATATAAATAACTCCTTAATCTAGACTTATAATGGATGAGATAAAGAACGGAGGGGAGGGATGTTGTTGCTCCCAGGGATCAAACGTAAATATTTTTCCATTCCCCTGACGCTGTATGACCCCCTACGGGTTAATCGCTTCCTCATGAATATAATATTGTTCGAAGATGTTTATGTCCTAAATGAAAACTGATTTATAAAAAAAAATAATTGCATTATTTTGATAATTTGTTCATTTTAATGTATATCATATTGCAATAACTCAGTTATTACCTGACAAGGTGATAATTTGTGGTTTTTAACTAGTTTTTTACTAAACAGGTTAACGAGGGATGCGCCGCCCGGGTGACATGTTTGGGCAACTCTTCAACCCCACAATGGTCTGATACTCTCAGTGTCTTCGCGCCTACTCCTGCTTTTAGAGGCATCTCTTCAGCTTCCTCTTCTGCTCCAAACAGGACGTCCTTCACCCACCCCAATATTTCAAATGCAGGCACATCGAACACCAAGAATGAAGAGTTACAGGAATTACAACAAGTGTACCGGGGCTTCTGTCAGCCTCGCCAGGAATGGCAAGTCTTTCAAGACATGAAAAAACAAGAGAAAGGAACGGCATCCACCAATTCCTCCAGGTTCTCTGAGCTTCTGTTGCAGTCTGAGACCCGCGCTAGAGTGTCATCGGACAAAAATCATCTTACTAATATAGCGAGAAAAGAAGCCAAGGACTCAAATGTTGGTGACAAGAAGTACAACAGTGGAGGAAGGCTTCAAGGTGGTGGAGACGTCCAAAGGGTTTTAAATTCATTGCCTCAAATGGTAACGAGGAGTCAAGCAAGGTTAGGTCTACCGCTGAATAATAAACGCTCAGAAAATCTTCTGAGATATAATGAAGAGAGTCGTAGACATAAACAAGAAAGATGGGTCAACAATGAAGTACAGAAGAACCTTCAGTATAGTAAAATAAGGCACGATGTTAAGAAAGTCAAAGCTTTTGGGTTTAATAAAATTAAATCCACTAACAACACTACACGAAGTGGAATTGAATTCGGCTCTGTATGTAAGACTTGTGGAGCGGTGGCGGTGACTAAAATTGGATGGATGGCCCATCAGGCTGCTCACAGAAACAAGAGCACAGCTTGCAAGTACTGCTGTTCTGTGTTCCTCAACGCATACGGCCGCGACCTTCATCAGGATCTTCACAAGGAAGGTCACACGAGTGAAGTGGACGATTACTGTGAATGCGCTCTCTGTGGTGGTGCCTTCATCAACATCATGTACTTAGAGCTGCACTTGTTAGATATGCATGGAACAGACGCACTTCACAATTCTCAGTCTTTCGTTCTGGGCTCGGCACCCAACCCACACTTTTCCTTTTTGTGCGAGATAGAAAGCACCGAACAGTTATTTCGATGTGGGGTATGTTATGCAAGATTTACTTACAGCTTTAACCTTGACTGTCATATGGCTCTCCATACGCAAATGTGTTACGCATGTGGCCTCTGTGATTCTGCTTATTCATCTTTAAATTTGCTCGTAAATCACTGCAACGTTCATCTGGGAATTAATACAGCAGCTGCTCCTTTTAACTGTCCACCGCTTAAAATTCAGGACCAGAAGAACCGCAGCCCAGAGCCGCCAGTTCTCATAGATGTTGACTTGTGGGGAGACCAGTCAGGAGACTTTCACTACGATGGTGCTACATCTTTTACAGATTCAGTCAATACCCCTGTCTTTACTACCTCTGAGATATCCCCGTCATCTCCATTTAAAATCTACAACTCTGATATAGCCTCTGGTTGGCCTACAGTAGCTAGCTCTGCTTCAAAGTGTAATTTTGCCACAGTCTCCAAGACAGCCTCGGATATTAGTGATTCCACAACCTCTCGATTTAAGATGACCTCTCGGCCAGAATCAGCCACTAGTTTCACTAAAAGTGATAGCTGCCACACATCCAACTTTGCCCCAGTCATCGCCGAAGGTCCTCTCGCCTCTCCCTGGGGTCTCGATGCAAACAATCTTCAGCGACCTTCTACGGTGAATTTGTTACACAAAAATGCCTTTGCTGACTAGTAAAGGCCTAGTGATTCTCGCGCATTCCCACTCCTGAATCAAGATACTATCAACACCGCTATGGACTCAAGTAAATTACTGTAATAGGAGTCCTTTGAATACAAAGTTTATTGAAACACTGCAAGAAAGAAGCCTCCAAGCAAATATTATAACGTTATTACAGCAAAACGCAAAGAAGACAACTTAGGCGTTTTGGCACTCAAAACATATTGTTAGAATTAGCTGTTGAGAATAAAACGTGTATTCCAATGATAGGACGACCACTCAAGTCCACTTCATTAAGATGTCTTCGCGGTCCACAACAGATAATCAAAAGTTATGTTAAACTTTCATTTACTGCCAATTTCTCTTAATTTTGGGTACGTGTAATGTTTGGTTCTGTCATTAACTAAAAGACAAGAAAAGTGTGTCAAGTCTTCTGTTTTTTTTTTTTTTTTTTTTGCGGTTTGTCCTTGTTAATCTTCAACAGATGATTTTACAACGTTATTAACGACCATTAAGGACTTAATATGACGTTTCTTTAACAAAGTATCTGAGTACTATATTTTGGCTGCATACTATATCTAGTTAATAATCCCGGGGAGAAACTGTGCCTGTTCGACTGTTTAAAAAAATATATACGAGTATATTTTGGCAGTATATTTTGGTTATTGTATGGAAAGACAAGCAGCGTGAACTCTGGGGGAGAACTAATGGTGATACCACTGTATCACATCAGAGAAAATCATGTCGATTCCCACAGTATCTTCATGTTCTTACTCACGAGTGTGAAGCCTCTCTCACTATAATTCCCTATAATTATTGAGCAGCATAAACATTTGGTAATTACGATTTAAGTTAATATGAAGAAAATCGTTTTCCTATATGTAAATATTATTGTTTACAAAATTTGAATTGTATTTTTGTTTATTAAGACAATCTATAAGTTAGGTTTTCAACACGTTTTTCAGTTATTTAGTTTACCTTGAAATATATTATAAAATGCATATGATATTTTTATTTTACTTTTGTGTTCCATTGGTTGTTAGTCACCATATACCAGCTGCCCCTGTTCACCCAGCGGTAAGTAGGTACCTGGGTGTTAGTCGACTGCTGTGGATGGCATCCTGGGGGAGGTTCAAGGACTACAATGGAAATAAGACAGATAGTCCCCGATGACGCACTTGCTGTAAGACCTTCGTGGGTTTGACGCTTAGTTTTGATTGTAATAATTAATAATAATAATTACACACTGACTTTATTGGGTTATCCTGGGTGGCTAACCCTTCCCAGGGTTAAAAATATAAAAAAATCATATCTTTGAGTCCTCTCCGTCCCATTATGTGTCTTTTTCTAAAGCCATAGATGCCACAATACCCTTATCTAAGTACTGGTCACTAACATCATCAAAGTCGACACCTCTCACTTTGTTCCACTGGGAAGAGAACAATACAGACTAGAAATGGTACTCGTGGGAGCCACTCAAACAACAGTTGACACGTTTAGTTTAACGTTAACTTTAACGTTTAGTTTAATTTCTATTATGCACCTCATACCCATCCTGTGGGTGGTAGTCAAAGGATTAGAGGTACATAACACGACCAGAGGAAAGTGTAAGTCTGCTGAAGCCGCGGGCTTTCACGTGATTGGCTGTTGAACTACCAATAAATGCAGCAGTAGGATCAGTTCTGATAATCACCTTAAGTTATGTTAAGTAAAGTTTGTCAGGAAACAGGACAAGTGTTTCCTGACGCCGGTCTTAGTCATATGGCTGCCCGCAAAATAAAATATGATTTTGTTATGATTTAGACCTGCGTTAAGAAACACTTGTCCTAAAATACTACTGCTAATGTCAATGCGATTTTTTTTACATGGCATAATACCTTTGAAGGAAGTACGCCCCCTCACGGAAGGTTCCTTGATCCTCCAGAGGGGCTCTTGATCTAGGGAATTGGATCTGTGCTCCAGTTCCCTGAATTAAACCTGAAATACCTTCCCTATCCCCCCGCAGGAGCTGTATAACCCTACGGGTTTAGCGCTTCCCTGTAATTATCATAATAATGATAATCAAGGAAGTTATTATTATTATTATAATCTTGAGGAAGCGCTAAACCCATAGGATTATACAGCACATGTGGGGGGGGGGGGAGATGGAAGGTATTCAGGCTCAATTCAGTGAACCGGAGCCCAGATCGAATTCCCTAGATCAAGAGCCTCTCACCAGCGTCAAGGAACCTCCCTTGAGGGGAATCATGGAAGTACGCACACTTCTGGCAAGACAGCTACTGAATGAGTGATGGTGAGTGTGTTTCCTACTCTGGGTCATCCTACCGTGCTTGGAAACTGATGAAGTGCACAGTGCAACAGTGTAACAGTGCAACAGTGCAACAGTGCAAGAGTGTAACAGTGCAACAGTGCAAGAGTGCAACAGTGTAACAGTGCACGTGGAGCTATCAACGAGGACAATCATTTTCCCCATGAATGGGTTATTCTGGGTTATTAACCCTCGTGGGTAAATATTCCGAATAAATTGTTATTAATCATTCGTTAGAGACAAAACAGTGATGGATCTGCCATACAAGAGGCAATAGTTGTCTTGGCTGAGGATATATGAGGCTATACATATCGGTAATGCAAATATTCCTCTTGTAGTCGAGACAAGCAATACATACACTGGACTACCCTGGTAGTGGTAGTATATTTATACTTGACATAATGATACAGGATCTTTTGGTTTATGTATTGTCATCAGCTTCTCTCTCCTATGTGCGGGTTATTTGTGTATTGTTCCAGTCACGGTATTGTGCCTTTGTGTTCTCTAACAATTGATCTCTTTGGTGCAATGGAAATAATACAAGAACCTCAATGGAAATAATACAAGAACCTCAATGGAAATAATACTAGAACCCCAATGGAAATAATACAAGAACCCCAATGGAAAAAATACAAGAATCCCCAATGGAAATAATACAAGAACTCCAATGGAAATAATACAAGAACTCCAATGGAAATAATACAAGAACTCCCAATGGAAATAATACAAGAACTCCAATGGAAATAATACAAGAACTCCAATGGAAATAATACAAGAACTCCAATGGAAATAATACAAGAACTCCAATGGAAATAATACAAGAACTCCAATGGAAATAATACAAGAACTCCAATGGAAATAATACAAGAACTCCAATGGAAATAATACAAGAACCCCAATGGAAATAATACAAGAACTCCCAATGGAAATAATACAAGAACTCCAATGGAAATAATACAAGAACTCCAATGGAAATAATACAAGAACTCCCAATGGAAATAATACAAGAACTCCAATGGAAATAATACAAGAACTCCAATGGAAATAATACAAGAACTCCAATGGAAATAATACAAAGAACTCCAATGGAAATAATACAAGAACTCCAATGGAAATAATACAAGAACCCCAATGGAAATAATACAAGAACTCCCAATGGAAATAATACAAGAACTCCAATGGAAATAATACAAGAACTCCAATGGAAATAATACAAGAACTCCAATGGAAATAATACAAGAACTCCAATGGAAATAATACAAGAACCCCAATGGAAATAATACAAGAACTCCAATGGAAATAATACAAGAACTCCCAATGGAAATAATACAAGAACTCCAATGGAAATAATACAAGAACTCCCAATGGAAATAATACAAGAACTCCCAATGGAAATAATACAAGAACTCCAATGGAAATAATACAAGAACTCCAATGGAAATAATACAAGAACTCCCAATGGAAATAATACAAGAACTCCAATGGAAATAATACAAGAAACCAAATGAAAATAATTCACTTTGACTTTTCTGGATTATCCTGGGTAATAATCTACACATATGCTGCTATGCATGATAATTTGTGTAGTTATGTGTACCTGTACCTGAACAAACTTGCATATATGTGAACTGTGATGTACGTGTACTTCTGGCAAGACAGCTATTGACTGAGTTACGGTGAATGTGTTTCCTTCTTTGAGCCATCTTACCTTGCTTGGAAACTGATGATGTGGTAAAAAAAGAGAGGAATGATATTAACAATTTGGTTTCTATGTAATCTTCGTAAAATTAATTTAATTGTTGAAAAATGTTAAATTAATTTAGCTTGTACATCCTGGAGTATTCCTGGAGGGGGTTTTCGGGGGGTCAACGCCCCCGAGGCCTGGCCCGAGATCAGGCCTCGTGGTGGATCAGGGCCTGATCAACCAGGCTATTACACCAATGATTGGTGTACTACATGAACACATGACCAAATATAATTTCCATATAAAAATCCCATTGTAAAAAAAAATAGAAGGAAAAAATGAAGAACAGAAGATGGGGAAGAAGTTGAGAGAAGTTCTTCACGCTGATGCTGAGGAGGAAGTTGAGAGAAGTTCTTCACACTGATGCTGAGGAGGAAGTTGAGAGAAGTTCTTCACACTGATGCTGAGGAGGAAGTTCAGGGAAGTTCTGCACACTGATGCTGAGGAGGAAGTTGAGAGAAGTTCTTCACGCTGATGCTGAGGAGGAAGTTGAGAGAAGTTCTTCACGCTGATGCTGAGGAGGAAGTTCAGAGAAGTTCTGCACACTGATGCTGAGGAGGAAGTTGAGAGAAGTTCTTCACGCTGATGCTGAGGAGGAAGTTGAGAGAAGTTCTTCACACTGATGCTGAGGAGGAAGTTGAGAGAAGTTCTTCACACTGATGCTGAGGAGGAAGTTGAGAGAAGTTCTTCACGCTGATGCTGAGGAGGAAGTTCAGAGAAGTTCTTCACACTGATGCTGAGGAGGAAGTTGAGAGAAGTTCTTCACACTGATGCTGAGGAGGAAGTTGAGAGAAGTTCTTCACACTGATGCTGAGGAGGAAGTTGAGAGAAGTTCTTCACGCTGATGCTGAGGAGGAAGTTGAGAGAAGTTCTTCACGCTGATGCTGAGGAGGAAGTTGAGAGAAGTTCTTCACGCTGATGCTGAGGAGGAAGTTGAGAGAAGTTCTTCACACTGATGCTGAGGAGGAAGTTGAGAGAAGTTCTTCACGCTGATGCTGAGGAGGAAGTTGAGAGAAGTTCTTCACGCTGATGCTGAGGAGGAAGTTGAGAGAAGTTCTTCACACTGATGCTGAGGAGGAAGTTCAGAGAAGTTCTTCACGCTGATGCTGAGGAGGAAGTTCAGAGAAGTTCTTCACACTGATGCTGAGGAGGAAGTTCAGAGAAGTTCTTCACACTGATGCTGAGGAGGAAGTTGAGAGAAGTTCTTCACACTGATGCTGAGGAGGAAGTTCAGAGAAGTTCTTCACACTGATGCTGAGGAGGAAGTTGAGAGAAGTTTTTCACACTGATGCTGAGGAGGAAGTTGAGAGAAGTTCTTCACACTGATGCTGAGGAGGAAGTTCAGAGAAGTTCTTCACACTGATGCTGAGGAGGAAGTTGAGAGAAGTTCTGCACACTGATGCTGAGGAGGAAGTTGAGAGAAGTTCTTCACACTGATGCTGAGGAGGAAGTTGAGAGAAGTTTTTCACACTGATGCTGAGGAGGAAGTTGAGAGAAGTTCTTCACACTGATGCTGAGGAGGAAGTTCAGAGAAGTTCTTCACACTGATGCTGAGGAGGAAGTTCAGAGAAGTTCTTCACACTGATGCTGAGGAGGAAGTTCAGAGAAGTTCTTCACACTGATGCTGAGGAGGAAGTTCAGAGAAGTTCTTCACACTGATGCTGAGGAGGAAGTTGAGAGAAGTTCTTCACGCTGATGCTGAGGAGGAAGTTCAGAGAAGTTCTTCACACTGATGCTGAGGAGGAAGTTCAGAGAAGTTCTTCACGCTGATGCTGAGGAGGAAGTTCAGAGAAGTTCTTCACACTGATGCTGAGGAGGAAGTTCAGAGAAGTTCTTCAC